TAAACTTTCTTTTTGTATAAATACATTGATAATAGCCTGTGTTTAACAACTTATACATCTTTACATGTATTAACAATGTTATGTTATTAACAAGTTAATCATATTATTATCAACATTGAAAAGTAGTTTAAACAATCCGTGGCGAGTTCCGGCACTTCGCTGGCAAGCTCTACTCCCACGCTCTATGCCCAAGCCTGCAGCTTATAATTTTTAAGCATATATAAATGTTATGTAATCATATAATAGCTCGGTTGTTAGCGCATCGGTGTTTCATTTTGATGGGCAGGGTTCGATTCCAGTCATGGTAAAGTTTTTTTTTTCTTTTTCATTTGTTAGATTTGCATGTAATTATAATATTAACATGCTAAAATGAATTCTTACCAACGATTTGATTTTTTTTTCTCAATTATTTATGTAATTTATCGACGCCCAGTCGGAAAACATGAACAGGGTTATAAACACTTTTCTTACTATAGCTATATGAACGTAGCTTTTTTTTAAGCAATTTAGAAATATTTAGAAGTAGTTGAAATAATCCACGGGGATTTCCGGCACTTCGCCGGCAAGCTCTATCCCCACCCTTCGTACTCAAGCCTGCATTATACAATTTATAAACATAAACATGATGTCAGAGATAATATGTTAGCTCTGTAGGTAGAACACCAAGCTTTCATTCTACCGATTAGGGTTCGATCCCACTTATAGCCAATTTTTTTTTTTCATTAAAATTTTATATAAATACAATAATTGGTTGTTTGTATAAGTTCAAAATCAATTCCTAGTGTCTTTTAAAGACAACATTTTCTAAAAAAGAGAATTCATAGTAACTCGTTCCTCACCCTCAGCTTATTTTCAGAAAAACAAGTTTTTTTTCGTAATTAATTGAAAGAATAATGTAATAAAATATATGAATTGATTTATAAGTATATAAAGTCACTTGAACAAGAAACAGAAAAAAACATTGCCTATGACTGGGATCGAACCCTGCCCAGCAAAATAAAAGGTCGAGGTTCTAACCACTGAGCTATTATAATTCCAATTACACAAACGATGCTTGAAAATTATAAGCTACAGGCTTGGGCACAGAAAGTGGGGGTCGAGCTTGCCGGCGAAGTATCGGAACTCGCCGCGGATTGTTTAAACAATTTTTTATTGTTAATAAGTTGTTAAAAAAGGCTATTATCAATGTATTTGTACAAAAAAAGGTTAATGGCCCTGTTCAAATATTTTCTCATTTGTCATTGATTAATTGAAAAAAAAATTTTACATAAAAATTGAAATTTAAAACTCATTTTTGGCATGATAAAATTGCAATTACATGCAATTTGAATAAAAAAAAAATTTTGCCGCAATTGGAATCGAACACCGTTCGGTAAAATAACTGGCGAACCTTCTGACTATAGAGCTAGCATATTTTTATTTGCTTTGTTTACGTTTAGATATCGTAAGCTTCAGGCTTAGTAACAGAGGGTGGGGAATGTGCTTGCTCGTCAACTGTTCGAACTCGCAGTCTTCTCTGAAAAATAAGACGGAGATAGATAGACATATTTTGTGCTCTGTCTTGCTCGGAACAGATTATTCTGAAATTTGGAAATTTCTTGGTACCCTAAGGCTCCCTTTTTGTAGTGCATCCCTGAAAATTATCATTTTTCGAACGATTTCTCTGTTACCTACTCAATTTCAATTGATATCAAGCTTCGGCTTTTCGCCGCACAACGTGAGGGCGTAAAGTCAACTCCGGGAAACTTTCTGACTTCAGCCCAGCCTTAATGACGCCAAGTGTACATACTGATTCCAAGTAGAAAGACTATTTAAATACAAGTACTTTATTTTCATAAAACTTGTATACTTATTACTTCTTCAACCGCTTGTAGTCTACTAAGGAGTGGTATATTCTGTATTTAGACTCAGTATTTTTTTTATTCATTTCAAAACGATGTTTTACTGATTCCAGGTATCTTCTTTACCTGCCTTCCGAAACTTTTTTACCTATCGCTTTTATACTGGGGACAAGTAAATTCTATAATTCGCCACCGGAAAATATTTCTGTCAGTGTAGGGCAGAGAAGAGAGACGTAAATAGAATCACAATGCCGTGTTCCATTTGGGGATCACCCCAAACCCCAAAGTTATCACCCCAACCGCCAGACGGCGATACTGTACATGTAAGCTTCTGTACCCCAAAGCCAGGTGGCGACAGTGTTCTTGGCACAGTCACGCCTACTCTCCTCCAAAGATGCGCACGCATAGAAAAAATGCTTCGCGGCAGAAAGAGCCAACTTGAATTCTCAGATTTTCCGAAATTCTTGGAAAGTTACAACTCAAAATTATCGATTGAATTCATTGCTTTAATTTATATATCAGTATATAAATTTGTTTGATTTTTTTCGAGAGTGCATACAGTGTATAAGTGATTGTGCATTGTGTACGCAAAAATGCCAGCTACAAATGTATGTGCATTTTTCAAATGTGAAAATGTGTCATCGAGGATGCCGCATCTCTCGTTTTATCGCTTTCCTAAAAACGAAAGGTAAGTTTTTAAATCACTTTTCATTATTGACAGTTTTCGTCTTAGTTCATTGATATATTAATCAATTGATATTAAAAAATATTTGTTCCTATATATAAATACTTCTTTGCGTATCTTCAACGACTTTATATATGCTGAAGAAAAGAATATTTTTGAAATTCAATTAAAAGGGTTGATATAAGTCGATCAACTTTTTAGTTAATATTTATTTTTTACAAATAATTCATTGCAGCATTTAAGTGTTATTATATCACGATTTTCTAAGTTTTTTGAATCGAGTTACTTTGATAAAAGTGAAAGTAGTAATATAGAGAGATTTTATAATCAATCAACTTTAATTAATGATATTATCAACCCTCTTTTTGTCTATAAATAATTTTTAAAATAATTGTAACGTTTCTATGAGACATGGGCTAAGCTGTTTTTTTCATTTAAACTTTTTTGTTCATCCCATGGTTTTCCCCAGTCTCCAATCTTTTAAGCTGCTTTAGATCAGTATTTGTACCAACCATTATGTTTATGTGTAACAATATACCTATAAAATGAGTTATTTTTATGGACAATATATTATTTAAATCGTTCTCATTTTGGTTAAAGGGTTTTAATATTTGGGCCCCCGAGCGCGCTTTTCCTCTTCTGGCGCTAACGGGTGCGACAGAGAGCAATACATATCTCTCTGCTTCACTCGCACTCACACAAAACTTCTGCGCACGCGCCGAGTACAGTAGAGCATAAGTGCGAGTGAAATGATCACTCGAACCGTAAGTGTGACAAAGACACTATACGGTGAGGGAAGAGGGGATGTTTTGGGCTCATGCTGGTTACTTCAGAAGTCTTTCCAAACTCCAACTTTATCAGCGCGAGAATTTTTCTAAGTTCTACGCGCTTAAAATGTTAGAGAAAATTTTTCAATTTTAGGTCCAATAATCATATATATAGATCGATAGAGAATTAAATTTCCTGTCGATCTAGCTATACTTTTTTAGGTACTTTTTTCCGATTTTTTAACGCAAAAAATTAATTTTCTAAGAGAAGAAAGAAATGTACATACATGTTCTTGACATATCTGAGAACATGTTTTTTTTTCTCTACATTTGAAGATTGATTGATATAATTATGTGGGAGATATAAATTTTTTTTCTCTTAGAAAATTAATTGAAAAATTTTGAAAAATTGAATTAATTGAAAAATTTTCTCTAACATTTTAAGCGCGTAGAACTTAGAAAAATTCTCGCGCTGATAAAGTTGGAGCTCGGAAAGACTTTTGGAGTAACCAGCATGAGCCCAAAACATCCCCTCTTCCCTCACCGTATAGTGTCTTTGTCACACTTACGGTTCGAGTGATCATTTCACTCGCACTTATGCTCTACTGTACTCGGCGCGTGCGCAGAAGTTTTGTGTGAGTGCGAGTGAAGCAGAGAGATATGTATTGCTCTCTGTCGCACCCGTTAGCGCCAGAAGAGGAAAAGCGCGCTCGGGGGCCCAAATATTAAAACCCTTTAACCAAAATGAGAACGATTTAAATAATATATTGTCCATTAAAGTAATGAAAAAATTGATAAAAAAAAAATTTTTTTTTCTGAAAATATACCTAAATATCTCATTTTTCGAAATAAATTGCCACAAAGTAATATTTATAGCGCTAAGTATTTTTTATTAATTTTCTTAGACGCGACTGGAGCTTTCGTCATTAGTGAAGCTTCAGTCGCGAATAACTTTTTATCTATCATAAATATGAAAAAAGTGTTCAGTATTTTTTTCATTAAAATTAAATTCTGAACAACTTTTATTTAAAACATTTTTTCATATCTATGATAGAAATCGAGAAATTCGCGATGGGAGGCGGCTTTTCGCGATTCCCCCCCCCCTCCTCTCCCTATGCGTGCCAAACATTCTTGACCTACACCATCGTGTTCCTCGCAAAATTTTCGATCTAGTTATCTATTAATCATCACTTTGGCCGCAGCAAACCAAAATTATCCCATTTCCCTCATTTGACTGGACTACGAGTCTAGTTTTAACATTTTTACATCTGAAGACGAACAAGTGGTACTTTTTTATGTAGGTAATCCGCTTTTATGACTGATGCGGGTCTACCTTTTTACAATAGCGTTATTTACATCGAAAAACCCACGGGTTAAGTGGTCAATGTTTGGCGCGTGCTCAATTACTTTTTGATAATTGAAACTCCGCACCCTCATCATTGTCTTCGTCTTAATTTTTCGTTTTATTTAAAAAAAAATTCGAAACAAATCTATCAACTCCTTCGTTTTTTTATTTTTTTCTCTCCTGTTAACATGAAAGAGAAATTTTCTCAGAGAACGATGTTGGGAAACCGTTCGTCTCCCACCACTACATGACAGAACTTGAGCTCCGCCCTACGCTCAGAAACGTCTCTGAATCTCGACCATTCTGCCATCTGGCAGCAACAACACGTATCAAAATTTCCGGCCACATCGTCCCATAAGGAATAAACTTCTATTTACGTCTCTCTTCTCTGGTGTAGAGCAACTGTATTTGTTCGTGTTTAACCTTACTGGGCCTCTTCATCTGGTTTAGTAATAACGTGAAAAGTTTCATTTTTAAAAACAATTAAATTAATTACTGCTCGAAATATTTCAGTAAGTTCTATTTCTTGAATAATCTTTATTTAACTACATTTTAATTTATTAATCAATAATATTTATTAAAGTTTTTTTTCTGTGGTCTTTAATCCAGTAATAAATCATGATCTGAAGTAAGATTTGATATGTATATTAAAAATGACTTCTAGGATGATGTAATATTTCAAGATGAATATTGATAATTAATACTGTCAATTTTTATGTTTTAAAATAATAAACCTCATGATCATTTTACTTGCTCATTATCTATTTTGCATGCATTTTGATGAAAATAATAATTGATGTCAGTTTTTTAACTCTTTTAATTTTCACTTATAGGTGAGCATTTAAGAAAGAATTTTATTTTAGATATCATTTTGTTATCTTAAAGTGTTAAAAATGGCCAGCGACGAAGCATTATTTGATATCCCTGATGAACCCAGTCGAATTGAGCGAATTATCAGAGGTGTAAAGAAAAATCCTACTGTTGCCTTGGGTATGTATAGAATGAAACATACCTAATAGATGAATGATTAATGATTTGTAATACAGAAAACAAGTCATGTCACTTTAAGTTTTATAGATTTAGATCATTTTGTTGTCAAATCATATCTAAAAAAAATTAAAAATTCGTTGCACTAGAATTATTGGTTATAACTCTCTAAGCAATGACTGTGGAAATGGATCTTGTGTTGTTCTGATGAATGGCAATAAATAAAAAAAAATTTCCGAGCATGTTAAGTTGTGAAAAATATGTTATACTTGTTTGTTTATTCAAACATTTTTAATTGTGTTAAATGAATAATAATCTAGAGTAATGCAATGTTTTTGTATTAACAATGCCCAAGTTCTTATATTTAGTTTAATACTTTACATTGAAATTGAATTGAAACAAACGTTCATTATATTGTTTTTAATTAATTAGTTATATAAGTTCATAAAAATCATAACTTATTTGGCAAGTACAACAATACTAATGGTTTGAATTCTGTTCTGAGCAAATTTTTTTGATAAATGTTATTGAGTTATTAAAAAAATATCGAGATAATAATAATAAAATAAATTCTTTATTGTAAATAATATAATGTTGATTGCAAATAAATTAATTGTTGATTACTTTTTAAAAAAAATTCTAAAGAAAGTTGTTTTTGGTCAGAGTTTGGAGAGTTTTTATGATGAATCGCGAATTACAGATTTTGTCATATTGCATTATATTATGTGTAGGAGAAAAGTTACATCATTTATTGAAATTGTAATTTATTTTAGGATATTCAACAATTTCAATCTCTAGAACCACAATATATTCTCTCATGTTTTACCATAAAATAATAGAAATTTGTATTATTCTTTATAATTTTTTATAATTAATCACAGTATCGAATGAACTTACTAATCAGGATACCGCCAAGATGATTGATTATAGTATACAAATAGACAATCTGTAAGCTTTTAATTAAGAATCTTAACTATGGTTTCCATCCGTCCAGGTTTTCCAGGACATGTCCTCTTTTTTTGATTAGGGGGTGGGGGGCTGTCTAAGGTACTTTTTTCGAAATGTCCGGGTTTTTTATTTTTATCAAAAAGTTTGAAAATTATACAAAAAATGGTTTTCTTTACCGCTTTAGTCCAGGGTTTCAAAAATTTGAGATGGCAACTCTCATTAAGATTCACATATTGGATGTCTGTTGAAGGTTAAAATGTAACATTGTGGCTGCAAACAGAAGTTCCACGGTCGAGTTTATGTTACCTTTCGTCATTATTCGGCATTTTTATACGTTGACGACATTGTGTCGTCACGTTGTGCTAAACGTATTATTAAGACTGAGCTAAACATGAATTGTAACAAAAACAACCCTCCCTCTTTCAGGGCTGTATAAAAATGTGCGCTAAGTATAAATAACAATAGCGATGATCGTTTTGGTAAGCATAAAGTGTTATTTTTATTAAGCTATCTTTGTTTAAAGAATATTTGAACTATCTAAAGTTTACGCGGAGTGAATTTTTTCACTAAATGTAAGTGCAAAAATGACAAGTGCACGTTTCGAAATTTAGAAGTAAAAATATTTTTGAGTTATCCTAAGTAATCATTTTACTAAGACACCTCTTAAATATCAAGTTTACTTATAAGAGCTCCAAATTTACTATCGAATAGGAATATTTTTACTTCTAAATTTCGAAACGTTGACTTGTCACTTTTTGCGCTTACATTTAGTAAAAAAATTATCTCTGCACTGCAAATCTGAGTGTGTTATTTTTGTAAACACTTTTAAAACACTAAGCTTTTTCAATGCTAAATGCCGTGAACAAACTATAGATTCTAACACACTATGAAATGTGTAAAAAGTGTCTACAAATCATCTATAGTTTGCTTATGAACATTTTACATTGAACACGCTTTATGTGTGTTATTTTGACACGTTTATGAAATATTGGGATTTGCTGTGTGTGTAATAGCATTCAGATACTTAGATTTTTGGAAGAAAAAAATGAGGCGGGTCTTAGGTTATGCCCTGACGAAGATCTTCCTATTAATTATATGGGTCACATGAAATCATATCGAGTTATTAACAACCATATTGTATTAATATCGGGCTCGGTTTTCAAAAGAAAGCTCAAGAATATAATTCATTTTAAGGCTGGGCTTTGCTTAAAATTTTTGCCCTATTAACTGTAGCAGAAAGCACCTCAAAAATGATATGACGAAATACATCCTAATGACTGCGTTTTATTATGAAAAATGATTTTATTTATAATATAGAAGGTTGCAAGGATGTCAGCAGATAACTTTTTCCAGCGAAAAATTTGTAAAAAAAGAATAATGAATTGTTTTCTCTTGACGGCCATGAAGCATGAAAAATTTAGTAATAATTCGATGACAATTTTCTTTCTAATTAAATTTAATTAAAATATAAATTAATAAAATAAAATGTTTATCAGCGGCATTCTACATGAAATAGGCTTTATTTTGATACCAAAATCAGTGGATATAATTACAAATTGGCTGATAAATTAGTTATTTCCCGACCTAGTTACATCATCGTCATTATTTATGTTTAGAGCACATTTTTGTACACCTCGAACAAGGGGGCTGTTTTTGATAAGATTTGTTATAAAAATGGCAGAACGTTTACTTCGTCTTTCGTTTATTCGTTCACTTCATATTTTTTCAGCGGCAATTGCATTGTAATTAAAAACTCTAGTTATCAATTTGAGAAAAAAAGTGAAATCGCTTCATGAATCAATTCCAATTGTTTCAAATTTAGGTCCTAAAAAAATTTATTTGATTTTCTTTTCTGTCTACGTAGCATTATTAAGACCTAATCCTATGCTTAATCAAAAGCATGTAATTAATTGATGAAGAAATCTCGCAGTAGCAATTGATTTTTATTTCATCACAAAGTCAAATAACTAAATACTTTTTCATTTTTAGGTTACCAATTTTCCCATAAATGGTATAATACTTTTCCATCTTATTATGTTTGTCGTCAGCCACTGAATTTGTTGTTAGCAACGCTTGACCGATATTTCTATGTTAGTTCACGGCTGAAACTAGAACACTTTCGATGCCTTTTTTAGATCTTAGCTGTCGTTTAACAAATTTTTCTTGCCTCTAAATTTATTCTTGAGTTGTCATTCTTAATCATTGTACAATATATATACAATATTTCTAACAGCAAAAAAATAACTGAATTACTCATTTATTAGAATATTAAAGAATTTTTTTTTACAATGTAGACAGTGATAAAGACTCTTGCAAGCAAGCATGATAAGTAAAAATCTAAAAATGTATTCATTTCTCATTATCATATCCTTTTAAGGATTAAACACTATGAGAAATACCTAACATTAATAACACCTTTTCCACTATTTTTAGGATATGGAGGATGCTTAGCAGTAGCTGCATATGGTATTTATAATTTTAAAAATCGCAAAGATGGAATAAGGCCCTCACTTTATTTTATCCAACTTCGAGTTGTTGCTCAGACTGTTGCTATTGGAACTATCACGTTAGGAGCAACATGGAACATGATAAACCATTTTGTATTGAATCCAAAGAAGAAGCCTGAAGTTAAACATTAATAAATAAAAGATTCATATTAAATGGACTTTTAAAAGAACTTTATTTGTAATTAGATCAATTTATTATCTATGTAATGAGTTAGATATTATATGGTACAATTAATTTATTTCTTGTAATTTAAAATGATATTAATACAAAATTTCTATAGTTAAAACTACCTCAGTCAGTATACTCAAGTATGCTTAATAATTGTAACATACATAGAATGTAAAAAAATATATTTCAGATGGGTTGTAATGACCTTGAATAAATGATATTTTTTGTAAATAATTGTTCACTTTGTAAGTATGATTTTATTTTTGTTAAATGTGGAAATAGTTTGAAAAAAAATGTATATTATTATCACCAGAACTGAATTATTTATTTACGAATTAAATATTTAAGGTTCGTAATTTTAAATGAGCTAAGTTGCAACCCGGAAAAAAATGAAATAGATCTACATTGATCTACTTACTCTATTTTTTAGCAAAATTAGATCTACTTTGTTCTGTGTACATCTGTTTTGATCACTTTAGATCTTCTGTGATCTCTGTAGATATATTAAATTTTTTTTATCATCGAAATCAATGGAAATCTTTATAGACATACAGTAATTTGTGTTTATATACGATGATCTCACTAGATACACATAGATTTACTTAGATCAAATTTTTTTTTCGTTTTTGAGATATGAGTATATCAAATTAGATATGAAAAATGGTGAAAATGTGAATCTGTGTAGATCTATTTAATTTTTTCCCGGCAAGTGAAGACTTCATTCTAAAAAGTAATTGAAGTTTATTTTATGTAACAGTGCACTAGATAGAAATTTTGATTATTCAATTAATTTTTTGTTTTAAACATATTTTATTGTTGGAACTTGAGAAAAGGATCCTCTTAGTAGTTAAAAAGTGAGTAATTAACGGAAAAAATTTTTTTCTACTCTTTTACTAAAATTTAACTTCGTTTTAACCAATATTTAACCACTTCTTGACCCATATTCTACTGTTTTTATTTCGCTAAATACTTAATTTTTTTCGTGTTTAATTGGACTCTATCGTGTACACGGAGAAAAATGAGGAGTAAATTCTACTTCTAGCGTGGTAGCTTCTACTCCAGTGTCTGGTCAATATATGGATGACTATTCTTAGGAGTAAAAGCTACTACTGCTCCGTGGTAACAATAATACTAGTCTGGGAAGTAAACGATACTAGAGTATGGAGTAATTTTTACTTCTTAAGGAGCAGTATATGCTCCAAATTTTAACTAATTTTACTTATAGAGCAAGTAGAATTTACTCCAAATCAATTACTTAATTATAATATACATATAATAGCATTAACTCCATAGATAAGATGTATAGGGCTTAGCGGGTCCTTCGATGGGTAGACAGAAAAAACAGTAATGGCTAAAAACTAACTGATAAAAATGATTTGAATAATTAAAGAATTATTTTTATTAGATGATATACATGTTAAATACCAATTTTACGTGTACGCAGTTTAAAGATTGCGGGAAACGCTGATTTGAGACCTAAGTAAAGAATATTCTTCTATTGGGGAGATTCGAATCTATGACCGCTTAATACGCGCAATTAAACCAACGCTTTAGCCTGCTCGGCTAACGAAAACAGTTGAATATGACTTACATTTTTATGTTTATATAACAGTAATAAAATTAGGCTACCAGGTGGTGGAGTAAAAATTACTCCATCAGGAAGTAAAATATATTCCTTGATGGAGTCTATTTTACTAGATAAAGAAGTAGAATGTTTGACGAAAAAAAAGGAATCGTCGATAGTTTCAAAATTACTTCTAGTAGGAGTAAATAATACTACTCGAGGAAGTAAAATCTACCAAATTCGAAGTAAAATACTAAAAATGATTTACTATGATTTAGGAGTACTGTATAGTAATATGTGGAGTAATATTTACTATTCAAGTAGTAAATCTTACTAGAAACGAAGTACGAAATACTAGAAAAATTTTACTTCCTCCGTAGAGTAAAAAGTACACCTTCATTTTTCTCCGTGTATATTCAGTTGAGTAAAGGAATTATTTATCTCCTTTTTACCGGTTTTTAATTGGAAAAAGCTGTTGAATTCCGGTGCGATTATTCAACCGGAATTTATTCATTTTTCTACAGTCCACAGAAACCGCGAGGAATTCTCATAAAATGTCTCTTTTAAGGAAAAAATTAATGATATCATGGTACTGTGGTGGAATGGAAACTAGTCGATTTGACGAAAATTATATTTTGTGAAAGTTTTTGTGAATCTTTGATTTTATCTGCAACTTTAATTTTATTAAGTTTATTAAAAACAAATAGTATTTGTTGATCCGATTTAGTTTGGATGTTATAAACACTCTGCTGAATTAAATAACAAAAATTTTTGCGCTCTAAGGGGTACTCAATATTGAATCCTAAATAAAGCTTAGACAATAAGTTACCCGTTTCTAGTACAGAAGGGATTTTATACGTTACAGTATCCACTCGTACATATGCTTTTTGGATGCTACTAAAGTCCAACGGTGATGAGTTGTGGCTAAAGACTCAATTCTGAATTTGCATGTTTTGCTCTTTTTACTTCTAACTTCTATTCGATGTCCCATTATTATCGATACTTACGAATATATTACTTTCCTATCAATACTCAATTCAATTATTCCCTATCAATTATTACTTTATCATTTATTATGATCGTTGTGTTTTAACAAAAAAACAATTATTAATTTTTTTGAAAAGGAATTTTGAATTTTCATCACTATGATCTATTCAGTAATGCACATATGTTCGTAGTCTGTCGGGTCACCCTGTGGCACTCCGCATTATCTTTGCTATTGTGATAAAACAGATAGTGGAAACTTGACTGTTATACCGACTCTTTTCGACTTATCAGTTAATTGCTTCACTCTTAATCAAACAATTTAATCAGTCAAATTCAAAATCAAAAGTTTCACAAACATTTATAAACGATTGGTCTAGGAGAAAAGATAAAAATTTAATTTTTCAGAATCTGTGTTGGCTAATCGAATAAGAGTCTACGACAGTCTTCCCTGTATCAACGTATTGGAAGTGAACCACTAGCGACATTATGTTGTCTTTCAATGTACTAAGGATTCGGATAATCAGAATGTGGCTCTTTTAGAGTTCTCTGCTACTGAATATTCTTTGTACCTTTCTATAAAACCGCTTTAGTTCTCAATAATACGGCACGACGACTACATCTTCAATAAAATAATTATGTAACGACGTTTTTTTTTTTCATCGCGATTATTTACTCTTTCAGTATTTCTTGTAGAGTACTGTGCAGCCATGTATAATAAATCTGTTTGTATTGTGCACCTTGTAAAATAGTGAACCCAGTATAGTAAAATGAATTAAAGGATTTCAAATTTTTTTTCACTTCTTATTTTAATGAAAATATTTTTCCGTATCGTTAATACTCTAGAAGAACATTACCCTACTCATGTTTGACATTAAATATGAATTGGGGGTACTATTTCATGGATAAACAAATACTGAAGATGTCTAGTACATATTAAAACATTTATTCAAATGTTTATCTATATCAATAAAAATTTTATTTATTTTATTCTACGACATCCGTTAAAATCATCAAAAACTCAAAATGGCGGATCATAGTGAGAAAAATCAATTGCCACCGGGCTGGGAATGTCGATACGACGTCAGAATTGGTCGTTCGTAAGTACAACATATTTAATTATATACTACTGATTAAGTTTAGTATAATATGCTTATTTTGTTTTGACTACAAATTTATCTGTCATAATAAAATAAAGCCGACTTTCATGCTTATCTATGTATGACATTTCACTTAAATGTTTCATAAATTTTTCTTTTTTCATTTAAAATATTGTATTTAAGTAACTCATTGTATTTTTTCATGGATTCTATATTAACTATATATTCTTCAACATAACTCACTAAAATTAATCATTGTTTCTCTTCATATCATCAATTTGAATTTATGCTATCATTAAAGGTTAGTTTTCGTTAGATCTGAAAGTTTTTCAGACTCATATTACTATTGAAGTACATACGAAAGTATATACTAATGAAGTAATTGAATGATTAATGAAATGTTAAACTATTATTATTATCATATTCATGACAATGCATGTCAATTAAATAACAATTTTGTTCTCATCATCCTTTACAATTTCTAGGTATTTTATTAATCACATTAATCGAACGACAACATGGGAGGATCCCAGAGTGAAATATTGGCATTTTTCTCCATATGGACAAGCTCCCAATTTAATAACAAGTACATCATCAACGAGAACCTCTCAAGAAGTTATTCCTTTACAGGTCAGGAACGAAATCAACCTAAGAATTATACATGACATTCTGTAGTATTTTTTGTACAGAATCTTCTGTAACTAATTTTTGATTGTAATCAAAGTGTTTTTCTAGTCACTAAACTTGTAATGATAGATTTTAGTACATTCTGTGACTTGCATGTGAAAAACATTATAATATATCATCAGATCTTTATAGAGGGTAAGGTTGCTTAAGTCGTACCCCCTAAATGAGATTGGCTGTATTTTTTTAAATAATTGAAATAAAACTTTGTTTTTTGGCGTTAATGAACATTTACGAATATTGCTCCGATTAGGGGACACCTCCAAAAATAAATTATTTGTGCTGGATTAAACTTAAATAGGGAATAAATTTATTGAGGCCGTATGAGGGACGGTGTAGATCGAGGGAGAGTCAGGTCTGACGAATACAGACACGATTTGAAGCGAATTATATTGACTGATGAGATAACTTGACTGATAAAGCAGCTAACGTGTAACTGAAAGATTCGACACCCGGTCTTGACAGAATATATTTTTCGCTAACAGTCGTCCTGGGCTAGTTGTGGAGTCGTCTATATGAGTTTAAGAATAGGAAAAAGTGGAGGTACCCCCTAATCAGGAGTAACTAAAAATTTTATACTGCAATTTTTTAATATTTGAAAAAGTAGGAATTCCTGCTAAATATGAAATCGTTTATTATTTATTTACATAATTCAGATATTAGATTAATACTTAACTGTTCCAAAAATCATACTACGTAAAAAATTATCGACAAAAGTTTTTAAATAAATATATTATTTTCTGTTATGCGTTTCCTCAATTTTCAAAAGCCCATAGTCATTTATAAAACTAGTTTCATTGAATTCGATTTGAAATATGTGAATTCATCAGTTGTAGCCATTTTTTCTGAGAAACGTAGAAGTCCGTATCTTTTTGCTCAATAAAAATATTAAAAAAATTAATTATCCATGCTGCAATTTGGATAAAATAAAGACTGGAGGAAGTTTTGGAGGCGGAAATTTAGTTTATGCTGCAACTCATCGAGCACCACAAGTTTATCCGAGTCCATGTCTTTACAATAATCCACAGCTTGCATTTTTACCATCAAGTTCACAGGTATGGTATCTCCACCCGATTTTAGACAACAAAAATTGACATTGATTTTAGTAAATTTTATCAAATTTCGTTTACTAATTCTTACAATTATTCTGGATTATTAGAACTATAAATTTATCTTATTCTTACACTGTAAATCCAAAGTGTGCTAGAGCGAACTTATACATACACGTGTTCAATGTATACACGTGTTCAATGTTTATTTCCATAAACAAACTATAAATTTTAACACACTTCAAGGTGTGTTAGAAATGATTACAAAATTTTATAGTTTGTACATGGTAATAAAATATTGAACACGCTTAAGGTGTGTTATTTTTACACACTTTCGATTTTCAGTGTAGTCTACATTTTTTTTTTTGTAAAGATCAGTTTCACAAATGGAAAAAAAACATTCTTTGTATCAACTTTGTTAGAGCCCGAATAAAGAGTAAAATTGACTTATTTCAAGGCCAACATTAGACCAATTTCTCTTTTAATTTTATTTTACTGTAAATCTCGATTTTCAAATATTTTTTACACAGTTAAGTGTGTAAAAACAACACGTGTTTGAAAATCGTGATTTTCTATGTAGGATAAATGCATAATTTATTACAATGACTAAAATAATCAAAAATGCTGAATGAAATTCACGAAAATCTGTATTACTAACTAAATCATGTTGTAAACTAATCTATATTAACGTTATCATAATATTCTTTCATAACCAAAAATTAACTTGATGTATTGAAAATTAAGATGATTAGGGGAGAGTGGGGTAATTACGAACACCTAAGGGAGAACTGAAATAAAACAAAAGTAGTTAAAGTTATGAATGTTTTTTATTATTGAAAGTTTACTTGAATTAATGAAGCTTAAGATTTCACAGTCAACGTGGATTAATTTTTAATAAAAAATCAAATATTTATAAATAAACAAAACCTTGGTGTCCGGAATTACGCCACAACACGTGGGGTAATTACGGATGGTGTGAATTCTATCATTATTTAAATCACAGATAAATCCTGATAAACTTTCACTAATCGTAAAGTTTTCGTGGGCCCCATAGATTACATTTGTTACATTTTATCCAATCGTCATTGGGAGGATCTTCATGCTTTTCGTTACAATGTTAGACACATATTCCATTTAGCTCAAAAATTACGTAAAATTGTTGAAAAATAATGAAGTCAAAATTTTGTACATCGAGTGCGTTGTCACTTTACTACTGTTTGTCAGACTTTGCATTCGGGATCGACTTCCAATTGCATTGCTGGGAATATGTTTCTGCTTCTTCTAACACAGCTAAACATGGTTGTCCGCGATCACCCCTCGTCCGTATTTACCCCACTTTCTTCTAAATGACAAGAATTTTGTTGTACTTTTCAGATGAAATTATTTATGTCCTATTTTTTAATAGGTTTCGATAAAATATATAAGTTTGAACTGAAAAAAAATTCTTTTTGATCTTGAGTTCACTGTAAATCCAAGGTGTGTTACAGTCAACTTATCAACACGTGTTAAATGTTAAACTCCGTAAGCAAACTATAGATTTTAACACGCTTTGAAGTGTGTCAGAAATGACCATAAAGATCTATAGTTTGTGTATAGCAATATAACATTGAAAACGGTCACGGTGTGTTATTTTGATACACCTTCGATTTAAGTGTTTTTTTGAATTGTTTTTCTGAAAAAAAGAATGAGAGTTCAAACAATTCATTCAATTATTCGATGACACCTTCCCTTTCCACTGCCTTGTGATTTAATACATTTTAAACTTCTACAATTTATTAGCATAATTCTAAAAATTTTACAATTATTTTTTTTTATTAGGATTTAAAAACATCAATGTCACGATCGCTAAGTGCAGCAACCAACAAATTTGGCGATGTAACAATCGGATCACCGACACCAATAAAACACATGGAGACTAGTTTGATGCAAGATGGAGATGTAGAATTACAAGTCGCAAAAATAAATGCAATTTTTCCAACTGTGTCTGACACTCATATTCGACTTTTACTAAAAAAGTAAGTCATAAAAAATTTACTAAGATAATTAGTCAAACTTTCAATTACTTGACTAATAGCTTTGGATACTAAAAAATTTTTTTAAAATTATTCTTTTGGAAATAATACAAAAAAAATGACTTGATTATTCTCTAAATTGTTCTAACAAATAAATTACTAATAAAAATAATAAATTAACTCAATCTTAGTGGGGAATGGTATACGTCGTAGTGCTAAGGTTTTAAGCGGTATTTCAGATATCATAACAGACCAGCACTGGTAGTGAGTGCGCTTCAAATTGAGAAGAATCCACTTTGCGCACCTGGTCCATGTACGCCTGTTGGAGTGCATTCTAACTATGCTTTTTCACGATGGCGTCTACCAGCTCATGCTATTCATGCTGCTATCACATTGAATCCACCTCGAGGGGCCAGGCCAGCCCCGAACTCCCCAAAAATGAAACTTAGGTTCATTATTTATCATTTCAGTTTTATCTACAAACCTGGATGCTAGATGTTTCATGATCTTATATTTATCATTTAGATATTTTTACTAGTATCTCAGTTATGCTATGCAGATATTGTTCCAGTGTTCTGTAGAAGACGCATGAATTATAATGAAATTTGTATTTTATCCCCATTTTTATTCTTTTTTAACCATTATATCAAATGGTAGTAAATTCAGTAATTATTTTCTCAGATGATTCATGATATGTAGAAAATAAATCATTTTCAAAACAGGTTTATGGAAAAAAAAAATTTAGGCGAAATCTTTGATAACAATTTTTTTTTCTTAGATAAAATTGTTCTTTAATTCATCATATTTATTCTAACTCATATACAACTATTGTATGTATCAGATTTAATTATTAATCGCTGCTCTAATTTGATGAGTGATTTGATTAAAAATTATTTAATTTTATTTTCAGTTTCCTAAGTTTTTCTCAAGGGTTTTATTCGATTTATTAAGTTATTCATCAAATAGGTCAGTTCTTTTTTTTTTGTTTTCATTTAGAAAAATAGTATGGGCATGAAAAAGTGCATGAAGAATGACTAATAATGGAAGCACATTGTATTTTAATTAATTTAATAAACTAATTAGTATTAATAAATCTAATAAATAGCGCGTATTTGTGCATTTGCAGCGATTATTAATTATGCCATGAAGTAACCAAAAAATATTAATTCATTATATGTAGTTGTAATAGACTTGATTAATAAAAATATTTAAATACTGTATCGTTATTTTTAAAAATTATGTAGATGCACATAACGTCTTGCATGTTATTTTCAATATTTATTAAAATTATTTTCTGTAAATTTAGGTACCTGAAAAATATTTTTCCTAAAGTGGATGAAACTTTATTGCTTGACATTTTGGAACAAAGTGATAACAATGTTCAAAAAGCAACGGAAAAATTAGTCGAACAAGGATATGAAAAACGAAATCCTACCGGACCAAGTAAATCAATTATTCGTTCTAAGGAAGATGGAGAGATCAAAAATGCTCAGTCAGTTACTCCATCACCTCCTCGGAAGAAAAGCGAAGAGGAAAAAAATAAACGTAATATATATTGTCCTATCTATTAAAACTCATGACTTACTTTCAGCCAAAGAGATACAATGACAAAAACTGTTCGTGTGAATATAATTAAATATTTATAATACTTTGTTTTTTATAAAATCACGGAGATTACAATTCAATAAATATCAGTGTTGTCCAGTGGTCTTGGTGCGACCCAAAAGGTCTACACGACTAACTTCCCTGTGGAAAGAATGATAAAATTTTGGTAGTTTACCATTTCTTTCAGTTATTTGATTCTGCAAGAAAAATGGCTGGACTGATTTTGCTGAAAACCTTATCAGTTCTAAGTTACGTAATTATGTGTCGAATGCAATTGGTCCCACATAGATATCATTTTTTGTTCTCGAGATAATTGAGGTGAAAAATAAGTCCGAACGCACATACGAACGAACGTACACACATACACACACACACACACAGACGTCCACTCAAAAACAATTGTATCGACTCTGGGGACCTTGAAACGTGGAGATTTGTCAAAATTTGGGATTCGCAAAATCGGACCCATTACAATAACTTCTCACTGGGAAATTGATAATAATAATAACAAAAAAATTTTAAAATTACCGTAACAAATACCAAAAAGAAATAATTAAAGAATACAAAATTAAATCGACCCATCAGAAAAGCGTAACCATTTTATTCGTGCGCTGATTGGTCAATTTTATTTTTAAATTTTCGAAATGAATAAAAATAAAAATTAAATAATTTTTTACGTTGTCGACTTGAGACAACGCGCTCGAAGCGCGTGCAGTGTATTTCTAGTATTAATTGAATGCATAAAATTTATATCTTCTATCTAATTGAAGTTATCGTTTATGTTGCAGTCAAAATCAAATTGATTGAAAAATACGAATCCGTTCCAGAAAGAATCATAGCATTAGCTATGGATAGTGTAGATTATGATGAAGAACGTGCTGTCCATATATTAGATATTATGATTGCTGAGGAAGCTATTCAGCCTCTTCGTACATCTAGTAGCCATAGGTAAGATAATTTTCATAAATATACAACAATTTACAGATAATTTACGAAGAAAACAGTCACGGCAAAGTTTACTACACTGAGAAAATTTTTCTTGAAAAATTAACTATAATGTGGGGATAAAATTTACCAAGCAGTTTGGTAGAACTACTTTACTGTCGGTTTTCGAGTAAATGTTACCAAGCAATACATGGTAAATTTTACCTCAACATTTCTGTTTAAATTTTAACGGATTTTAGGGATATTTTTTACTGTTATTTTCGGTGAAATTTTCTATTTTAAAAAATTTTTTTTCACACATCTTATGTATGCTAGAAAATTATTTGCCATCAGAAACAATGTCACTTGCACTGCTATCACAAATTAAGTGAACGAACACCACAACTAAAAACACTTCTACGTTTTTCACACAAACTGACCAACTTGATCGTTCCTCAAAGAAGTTTAAGAAAATACTAAAATTAAATATGCACAAACCTCAAATGTATCCAAAGAGAGCATACTCTTGGATAGAAGGAGAATGATTTTTTTTGTCAGTTACGGGGGAGTTGAGGCCAGTTTTATTGCTTTATGAAATTTTCCCGAGTATAAACAAGACTACGCTCACGTGCTCATTTATAGTTATCCGAATAGTAGGCATATGTCGTCGAGAAATTTTAATTCTGAGTCTGGTATTTATTTAAATAGGTGTTGTCCATTTTTTCATAATGAATGAAAGAACATCTTTTTCATTTATTTGTGAGGCTAAAGATTGTTTTTTGTTGGGGAAATTTTACTTAACGTGCTTGATAAAATGTACCCCAATGGTTTTGTAATAATTCATACGCGTAGTTTGTAAAATTTCTCAGATTCTGGAGGTATCATGCGGTTAATCCAAAGTTAAGGGTAATTTTTCACGAAAAATTTTCTCAGTGTAGAAATGTCTTATCAATAGATATTCGAGGTTTAGAATAAATTTTAGTACAATTCACTTGACTAGAAAGTAATTTTTCCAAAAATTTTTCCTAATTTTATCAAATTATTCGACACACGGAAGAAAATAGTAAGGCTCGCAACGCTTTTCTTAGCGACTAAAAATGATAATGTTGATTTTACTGCAAATATTATGAATTGTAATTGTCTTTAGAGGATTATTGATATTATGATAAATAAATAAATTAATTAAAAATTAATAATAAATTAATTTTAAATTACTTTTAGCAATAAGAGTGATGAACGTAAAGATAGTCCACCAGTTACAGAACCTATTAAATTAACAGCATCGCCAATTAAAAAAATAACTGAAAATAGTGAAACTGAAAAGGCCAAACGATCAAAAAATAAAGTTGAAACACCAAAGTAAGTAATTTTCTTTCTTTTTTTATCAAGTACATAATTAATTAATAATTGTTTTGTTATAGGGTATCAAAAGGTACGAGTACGTCAGAAGATCGTGAATACAAATCTCCACATTGCACGCAACCTACAGGAGCCAATTCTGAATTGACGAAAGGCCCTAATAATGATTTATTACTGTAAGTTTTGACGTTAAATAATCACTGTTTATTAATTTCCCATTATAACATTATTGTAATGGGATCGATTTCGAAAATTCGTTTTTTTGTCATTTCTTTACATTGTGAGGCATTTGAAAGTTCATTTTTATATTTAAAAATAAATATACGTAGGTGTGTCAAGGTTTTCTTTTCATTATCGGTATCTCGAGGACTACTAAAGATATCGACTTTAAAAAAATTTAATTTAAGGCCCTAGCACATAGGAGCGGATTTTATAGGGGCTTCGAGGGAGCCCTATTGAATTTCTATGAAACGAATGATAATTCATTGAATTATTGATTAAAGTATTTACTGGATAAATTACAAAAATTTTTTGTTAATTATTACTATAAATTTGATGATTAGTTTTAAAGGTGACTTTTATATTGGCCATATTGTAAACGTGAAATGCATAATCTTATAGTTTTCAATTAATAATTTCTCTATTATATATTCGACAGCTGCAATTTTTTTTGTGAAATATTTATTCGAAAACGTTCCCGAATGAATGATTTCGTTTTTCGAAAGTATTTGCAGTACGGAAGATTGGAAAATTGAACGATAAAGTCGAAAGTACTATTTCTCTCTCTCTCATTCACTCTCATTTACGTCAACGTATGAACCTGTATTTTTGATCAATGTCTGAAATTGTATTTTTAAATACGATTTTTACATCAAAATGCCCCATGACTGAGCTTTTTTTTGCTTGTAACTTGTTCGTGACAATCTTAAGAATATCATATTTCAACATTCAATTTATTTACAGACCTCGCCAAGTGCTAGAACTACTTTAAGAATATCATTTCTATTCATGTTTCAGCATTTTCCTTCCAATACGTTTAAAAATTCCAAAATGTCATTTTTCAGACCTGATTATGCACCATGGGTTGGACCTGATCCCAGTCTGTTGTCAGCAAAATCTCGTGCGATTGGTAAAAATTCTTCATTAGTAACAGGATATCAAACTTTGGCGAAAGGTCCAAATCCTGAATTACGGAAAGGACCTATTCGAGGGCTTGCACAAGGTTCTATTTACTCACAAAGAAATACATCTAATATAGAAAGTCGCGGTAAATGAGGAATGTGCAATTGTTTTATTTAAGTAGTTCCTTTAATTTATCAATTCTCATTAACTACACTTGATGAATAATAAAATATTAATTGGGATCAACAACAATATCATAGGTACACTTAAAATTAGTTGTTTTTCTGGTAATAACTGATGTATGGTATAACGATAATCTTAACGATCCAGTTTTTTATCGTAAAATAACCAAAACATTATGGTTTATAGTTATTCAATCATCTATATTTTCAATCACAAATATTTTATTACCAAAGAACTTACATATGTGAATGTAAACAAAATATTAAGGATAATGGCGAGACAATGTTTAGCAATGAAAATGTGAAATACTTTCTACATCAAAGTCATGCTTCGATTTTTTTTTTCTAATTTGTTATAAAAACGTGTTAAAAACATCGTGTTGAGATTCTTCAAACCTGCAGCGTCTTGAGCCAGTAAATAATATCTGATTTTGACTTTAAAAAAAGGCCGGGGTACGCTTTCGATTGGGCGCCACCTCAAAAAATAAATTATTTGTCCTGGGATACACTTAAATAAAGTCGAACTGAGAAAAGAGTTCTTGTGCGCTTGCGCAGTAGCAAAAAACTTGGTAGAGGGAGTAAAAAATGAGTGGTGGGGAGCCCGAAAACATTGAAGCGATTGAGAAATAGAACTTTTTCCTCAGTTTGACAATAGTGAATAAACAGAAAAACTTAGTTCTGATATTACTTTCCTTTGGACTATCAGTCAATTGAAAGTTCTTCCAAAAATTATAGACTTGGAAAGTAAGACTTGATTATGGATCAATTTTTGCGTACGTAGATCCGAATGAAGTTAAAAAAATTCTGTTACTATCTACTTTCGGCCTTTGGATAAACTTCCGATTAAGTGTCACCTCAATTACCAATTTTTTAAACACATAGACTACTCCACGACTAGCTCAGGACGATTCTCCGCGAAAAATTTATTCTGTCAAGACCAGGAATCGAACCCGGTAGAGCACTATATGAATCACTGAATGAATCATATTGACGCTCAATTTGATCTCTTTGTGAGTATTTCATTTTAGTAGTTCATAGATGGTATACTCACATGGTATACTACTACTGAATGAAATATCATCAAAATCCGTCGTGCCCTGTCCAATTTGTTATATGGATTAAAATAAGAAATTCAAAACGTGTTCACGATTATTTTATTCAACTATAGTGTATTGAAGTGAGGAAGAATATTGGAGGGCATACTGACGCAACAATTGGCGTAAAATAATAGGATTTAATACCATTCTCTTACCAAATTTACGCATTCATACATATAAGTTGGTGGCACATCATTATTAGTGTGTGCTATTATTTTTGCGCGATGAACCTAACAATAATATAAATATTTAGTCGAAGAAGTATGTAGCACTACATTTTAAGAATTCATTTGTTATTCGCAAATCACTTGCAAACAACAAACACTAACATGAGGTGTTAAAAAAAATGTGCAAAAAATTTTTTCGGTTTCATATATATTATTGGTAATGTTATGTCCGACTATTTTTAATTAAATTTTATTTATTTAATGAATCATATTATTCCGTAAGGTTATGATCTAATGGTAATACCATAGAAGGGAAAGGGGTAATTGCGGGTAGCGTGTGAAGGATTGGAGGCGTCGGACATGGACAGGTAGTTTTTCTGAGGGAAAGAAAAAAAAAACCAAACTTCTTTCCCCCTTTTTTTTTTCGTTAAAAGAGCCTGCACTCTTTTTCCCTCTTGCCAATGATGAGTCGCCGTTCAGAATAGGAGGTTGACAATGTAAGATGAACTTACCTTAATCCGTACTGCTTGACAGGAGGACAATTACGCACCAGGTACAGGAACGTTGAGTGGTGAGTTTCGATGGGAGATGTTTGACTCCAAGGGAGTAGGGATTCTCCTGGATCACAAATAACTTACGCACAACACCTCTTAGTAAACCAATATTTATTTATTGTTCTGTTTTAGTCCCTCTTTTTTTTCTTACAGCACTAATAATAAGATTTCTATTTTCTTTTTGTTTTGCCAGTAAATTTGTAACGTCGGTAGACGGAAACTTTTCATTTAATATGGTTAGCAATAATTACTATAGGAGAGGATATACGCGTTACTGCGTCTCGGGAGAGATTATTGTAACGACTGAAGATAGAATAAATTTTATTTAGTTCAACGCGATGCTAGATACGCGGGCTGTCTTGACGGGTCTATGGTCTTTGACGAAAAGCCTTGATAAGAGCTGTTTGGTCTACGAAGTGGCCGCGTGTAAACAGAGTCGCCGGAAGTAACCCTGCACCGGTTTGAATGTCAGCAGCCGACATAAACAACGATCCAACAAAGTATTGCTTTGTAAGGATTGAATCGTCATTTTATGTGTGCGTGATTTCTGGTGAACTGGAAAGTTTCTCAAGCTGATTAAGCTGGGAAACTCCCAGTCCACAGAACAAAACGGGAAAAAGGTGCACCGTCTGCAGTTTGGGGCCCCGGGCCCCGCCACAAGTCAAAAGGCTTGGGAAAGAGCTGACCATCGTCGACGGAAAAGAAAAATGCTGGTCAGCGGTCTAAATCCTATGCAAAAAGTAGAAGGAAAGAGGAAAGGGGGAAATAGAAAAAGAAATAAGGGATACGGGATGGACGAATATTAAGTCGGACATAACAGTAAAAATAATCCGATATTATTTACAGAAATTTTAAGTTGAATTGGGGTAAAATAGAATGAAACTAAAAAGTATTACTTTTTTAGCTATAGAAATATGCAATCCCAAGATTTATTATCATTTTCTTCGAATATATGAGAATTTGATAATTCTACTCGTCATTATCTAATAAAATATGTGTATAAAATATCATAATAGTAAAATATCTGAAATGTGCAATAAGTCTATGAACATAGATGTAAAAGTGTATTTTGATATAGTTTCCTCTAAAAATAAACGAAAAGGATCCTGCCTTGAAATAGTCAAAGTGAAAAATAATCTTCATAATTAAAAAAAAAAAAAAACAATCTCTTATGACTAATAATAATGATCAAAGTATTATTTAAAAGAAAAAAAAGATGGGCTGTGGATACGTCGTTTAACGAGAGCTATTTTTATAGCTTTTTGACTCAATTCGAAGAATAAATTAAAGATGGTAAATTACAATATAAATAATATATTTTTACTATATTTTAATGAGGTTCTTTACATACTAATAGAATGTAGTTAAATCAATGTTGTCAACTGTAGAAAACTTCTTGTGGATTTAACAATATTGTAGTAGGATAATTATTCACAATTAGTCCAAATCGATTCTATCTAAAGAATTATTTTTTTTTCTATTTTTAAACAGTTTTATCAAAAATTGTGTGCGTTTTCATTTTCATTAGTACTTTCTTTAAACAAAGTTATTAAGAAATGAAATATCCTTATTTATTAAACTAATGATAAGTTGAAATATTTCATATAATACAGGCATGATAAACGTAACTTATCATGCCTGTAGAGAGGAAACTAAGTGGCTGATTGTCGACCGGTGGAATAAAGCGAGATCTAAGTAATTTACTTAAATCCCTAGTAACTTTTAGTCCCTAGACTCTTTCCACCATGTCGCTAATCGAGTACTTAGATCCCTCTTCACGGCTGGAATAAGTTACTCTTATCATAACCTTTTTTATGTAAAAGATCGTATGCACCACGAGACCTAATGGCTATCATCGCCTCAGCGAGATGATGTCATTCAAATCACACGTATATGCACTCTTCTTCGACTTGTGCACATGCGCCGTGCAACTCGAGTGACGTCATCTACACGAGGCAATAATAGCCCACTTAGGTCCCTTGATGCATAATCTACTATTAGCTTGAATATTGCATAAATCTAGTAAAATACGTAACTAAATAAATAAAAAAGTCAAAAACATCTCTCTATATTTTTGATACCGAAATAATAGTATACAAACAGACCTACTATTTTTTTGGTCATATAATCATAGAATGATCAAATTTTTTTGACGTCAAATTTAACATATTTTAGGTTCCACGGAAAAAATTAATATAGTATATACCATTAACAAGTCCTGACGTCTGAATTGTTGTCAAATTTACGTACGTCTGTTTTTGTTCTGCATCAGATTATCACTCATTTCTGATGTTGCATTTTTCTGACGACAATCTTATATCTGTCTGCTTCAGAAAAACAGCAGATATATACGTAAATGATAAACTTAGGCTAACATACGTAAGTCTGTCGTCAGTCTTACGTTGATTTGGCTACTAGGGATATTACACATCACAGAATGAAACTGAGCTATATCATACCATGTGTAAGAAAGCTCACTTTCTCAACATCTCCAAAAGTTAAAGTCTCCTTCCAGTTTTGAGGTTAGAAAAGGGACTTTCTTTCTCCCGACGATTTCCTTTACTTTCACCAAGAAAGAGTTTGGTCGTTTTTGGACCTCAGAGAACTGGGGCGAAATTCCGAATTTCGGCGGAGAGAAAGGGGATGATGACAAAATAATATATTACACACCACCAAGTTTTTATCTCTTTATTTGAGGAAATAAATGACGATACAATGGTTTCTGGATTTAATGACAGTCTTCATATTTGTTCAGTGTCATTAATTGATCTTTCAGTGGTTACAACGAAATTTTTCCCATTATTATCTTGATATCCGGTTACCGTGGTGTACCAGCTCAATCGAATAAAAATTTCAAATTAATATTGTGATATATTTTAATACATTTTTATCCATTTTTTAGCTAAATGAGCCGTCCGAATTCTTCCTTCGTATTACTTTTTTCTTCTTCTATTGTAAAGTAGAACTCTCGACCGTACTTGATATTTCTAAATTTTAACTCATTATACGACTTCTTATTTATACTTATATTATCAAATTTTTATAGAAAATAAATGAGTGGTATTATTGACATAATACATGTTGAGGACAACATGAAGACATTCTTTAATCATTCGTGATTAAATTGTTAATAGTGATTTTTGAATACAACTCAAGTAAGAGTTGAATTTTTTACTTGCATATCACTATATTACTCCATGAAATACTTTGATTAATGAAACACTAACAAATTGACATAATCCACAAGAAGTTAAGAAATCTTATGAAACTTTTATATAAAAAAGAAAAGAATCGTTTCACTCTTATTGTTATACGGTAATAAATTGCTTTTACTTTTTGATGACTTAAACTCAATGTATAAATTCATAGATAAAGTTGAAAATATTTGTTATAAGTCATAGTGTGTAGACCAAAGCGTATGATAAATTGAAAATCTATGAAAAATATAAGCTGCTCGTTCACTCCTAAGATACATATGTAAAAAACTTTAATCTTATTTTTTTTTTATGATAAACAAACGTCGCATATTCGAAAAAATTTCAAATTCGATTATCTTCCTTTAGATCTGAATTAATTTGCTATGGATAACGATAGAAGTTATGATATAAAATTCGGTTTTAAAACTTTCGGTTCCAAATAAATGAAATTTAATGGCAGTAAATTGAATTCCTTTTTATCATTAAATCTCCTGATGGATTCATGCCAACTGCTAACTGGAAGTTGCAATTGGATTAATAGTAGACTCAGCGTTTATTTTGAGCTTTTTGAGGGTAATTTTTATTTAAATGAACTATAAATCAACGGTTACGATGTGCGGTTCATTAACGACACTGAGAAAAGAATTTTGTCAAATGAAAGAGTTTTTTTCGTCATACCCCCACATAAACTTCAATTTTACTCCTTGTTCAGAGGTAGTATAGCCCAATATTTCTTCCTTGCATGAAATGACGAAATTTGTTTGTGCGCATGCCCACATATATGTTGTCCTTCTCTACAAGGTAGAACGTCTCGCTTGACAAACCTCTAAACTGAGAATAAAATCGAAATTTTCGTGACAATATGACAAAAAGATGTATTTACACCATGAGAATAAACATATAGTACTTCTATTTGCGATATTTCATTTCTCGCCTTCGGTTCGGGACAAAATTTCTCTCACGGAAGAAATACTATATATTTACTCCCTTGTTACGAAATGTACTTTTTTTGTCACACCCCCACGTAAACTTCGATTTTACTCCCTGTTCAGAGGTAGTAAAGTCCGACGTTTTTTCCTTACATAAAATGACAAAATTTGTTTGTGCGCATGCCCACTTTGCGCGCCAATTAACTAACCATTTTTCACGCACATTGTGACCGTTGTTTTAAAGTTAATATTAAGTTGCCTTCGATCCATCAGGGATCACATTATTCATTGACTCTCAATGCAAAGAAAATAAATACTTTATCATTTTTTTTCTATATAATTTTATAATAATACACCGAGCTATGATTTCTTCATACATTCCAAATTTATAAGAATAAAATCCATGGATTTTTAAGAATATGAATTCATTAATATTATCATAACTTTGAGATGAAAAGTCCATAAATAATAGCAATAGATGTTAATTAACAATTACTTAAAGAATAAAATCTCTAAATGATGTATTCTCTCATGCTTGTATATATAATAAAGTGATCTATGTACATATAAAAATGATGATATTATTATTTTAAAACCCTGTATGTTAGTGAACCTTTGAAAATAGGCTTAATAAAATTCGTATTTCATCAAGAACAGCCGCCTCCTTCTGGCCCAACTAGAAAAAAAAATTTTTTTTTACCTCATTTGACACCTTTTTGAAGTTAACAATTAGATTTTCCAAAATTCATCGAAAAGATGTCTATTGTTACGCCGTGACTACCTCACACCATACGTATATTTAATTTTTGCTGACTGTAATATTATTACGCCTGTGTCTCGAGACTCAGGGCAATTCTCTTACTTATTTTTCTCAAGCGCAGTAACACATTAGTAGCACTACTTTTGTATTTTGATATTTTTTCATTTTTTTTATTCAGGCAGTCGACAGAAAACTATCATTGAAGTAGAAACAGAAATAAATAAAGTTTTCTCGATTCATGTGAAGAATAAGAATCAGAATATTGTCAATAAGTTTAGAATATTCAGTAATAAATAGAAGTGATTAATTAACTGTACTGTTGTTAACTATAATTTTAGTGCTAAACATTTAAGTGTAATTAATATTAAAAGTGATAATAAATTTGTGATCACTTAAAATAAATTCTTGTGTATTTAAATTGACTGAAATCCTGAAATTTATCCACGGCATAACACTATATAGATGAATTTTTAGATAACTAAAATATGTCTAAAAAGATGTTTGAAAAACGTCTAGAGGATGTCAGAAAAGACGTCTTTAGATATCTGTTGGACATCTTTTTGGCTTTCTTATAGACATCTGTTTAGCTTTCTTTCAGACATGATTTCAGACATTTAAATAGATATCTTTTTGAATATCTTTAAGACAACTTTTAGAATATCCAATAGGAATTTGATATCTTCTTATTTAAACCAAAAGATGTCTTCTGGATAGCTTTTTTCTAGTTGGGATGGACTGCACAAAAATGTGCACCAAGCATATATAACGACAGTGATGAAATTACAAAAAATCTTAAAATCATTAAACGCCAATAATTCAAATCTGAAAATCAACGATATTGAAAATAGATTATTTTTTTTTTCTTTTTTAAATTTAGTACGTTTAATGACATAATAAACATAACAACCGAAAACTTGGCGTGACTGTTAAGATTTTATAGAAGCATGAAATTTTGAAAATATTTAAGCCAATAAATAAGCAACGTAGAGTAAAGTAATGTACGTGAGTCTGTAATTTTTCAAGAACAACATATTAAAAAATCATATAATAAAAAATTTAAATAATTCAGACTATCTATTATGATAATTTTCTCTTGTAGATATTATCTATAAGGCTTTATCATAGGTATTAAATATAATTAATATTATTATTATTTCACACGCAAAAAAAAAACTGTTACCTTGTAATTCTTTCCAACTACTTTTTAATGTAGGTTGAATCTTCTATCTGTTCAAGCTTCATAAATTTTTTTTCAAAAAAAATGCGATATGTCATCATTTTTTCGATCATCAGTTGTGGATGTTATTTATTGACTGAAACCAACAATAATTTCCATCGAATTTGGAAACCATTTATCATTAAACGTTTTGTATACGACATATTGGTAAGTATTTTTTGCAATTTATTAACTTTTTTTTTATGAATTTTATTTTATTTCTCTTTCAGGCGACTCTCTTGAAGAGATGTAATCTTAACATACGAAAAATTATTATTTATGACGAATATTACTTTCTCGAAACATCTCTTGTTATTGCTGAAATACAACCACAAACTTCAGTGACAATCATGAGAAATCCTGGCACCTGGAGATCTAAATCTCAATATCGATTCGATGACATTGAAATCGATGCTGTTATACTTGTTATTGACATGAAAGATGACCCTTGGCCCGATTTGCTCCGAGTTTTCCTAAGATGGCGTTTCAAACGAAATTCCATGATTTACATAATTCCGAAACAATTAGAGTTCTGTTTGTCGTATAAACAAACATTTTTGTATATCATGCGATTCTATTTTCCTGCAGCATATTATATTTGTGTAAAGGACCGTCGTTATCCTGTTATTTATACTCAAGATCCTTACGGAGACACTAATCCTTTACATTGGGTCAAAACAAATCAAAATTTGGTGTATGGAAAGAATTGGACTCACTATGGAAGAGTGATTCGGAACCAAGGTACTCGATTTCGTTTAATATTGCTCATAAATCTTTTTAAATACAATTTTTTTTAAGGCTGGACTTTACTCACCTCAAATTTTTCTCGTCAAACTGCGCATTTTTTATTTGTGTTTTTCACGTGAAAAATATTTAGAAATATGCAGAAAAGTGGTATACACGCCGGAAAACAAAGATTTATCGTACAAATGTAATAATAATCGTAGAATACATAATTTTTCAACGAAGGGCACCATGAAACCTCGAACTTCATACCACTTTTCTGCATATTCCTAAATATTTTTCACGTGAAAAACACAAATAAAAAATGCGCAGTTTGACGAGAAAAATTTAAGGTGATTTGAGGTTAGTGAAGCCTAGCTTTAAGAATAGAAATTTTTGGCCACTTTCAGGTCTGACTGATTTTTGCCCCGGATTTAACTTCAATCGTACCGATCCGATTAATCAAAATGTGACTATTGGTATTCCTTACATACAGACCATCCCACAATGGGGAGGAAAAAGAGAGGGTATATATGGTGAAGAATTTGAAGAACGAATAATTCCTCCTCTTCGGCGTCAATTGGACTATTTTAAAAAATTGCTGAAGCTTCAGTTCAGTTATGTCACATTAGAGTACAATCCGCTTCAACCAGATTTTCCTAAACGAGCGTATGATTTGACTTCTGTTGATACGCTCTTATTAACTAAGTACGTAGTTAATTCCTTAGTTTGGTGGCAATTTTTTTATCCCACTGAGTACGAACCGTACGGAATAATTTCTCATAATCGGGGTTTTATGACACCGTTGGAGAAAATTGTCAAATACTACGGTATATGGACATTGTTATCTTTAAGTGTCATGCTGATTATCACCTTTATTGTGATATGGTTCTCAACAAAAAGAATTCATGTAGCAAGTTTTGATGTCATTAGACTGTTAGTTGAAGCCGAAATTATTGTACCAATCAATTCTCCAGCACGCAAAATTTTTTTTAGCATGGTTTTCCTATACTTTTTGATCATCCACGCCACATTCAGTGGACATTTAGCCGAATTTCTTACTTCAGTTGATCGTCGGTTAAATGTTGAAACTCTTGAAGAATTAAAAGACTTGAAAATCAAGCAAATCTTTTATTTTGGATTCACTTTCGATGCAGATACTTCTATTTTACGTCGGAAATCGTCGTCACTCGATAACTCGTATGATTGTGAAAAGGTTATAAAACATGTGGGTTATGCTTGCATTGCACCTTTACCGGTTCTTGAGGAAACACGACTGAAAGTCAAAGACAAGAATAACTCGCTCTATATAAGCAAAAAAAGTATCGGCCTCTCACTCATAAGTTCTCTTTATAGACAAGGATTTCCTTTAGCTGAAAAAATAAATTGGGCAACTGTGTTTATGTTTGATACAAACATTATTCATGAAAAGGTTAAAATTAATCGAGAATCTCTCGCCATTTTAGATAAAATACATGGAGCACGGATTACTATCGACTATCGTGCTATTACTGTTAATGATATTTACTTTGCATTTATTTTCTTGATTATCGGAAACTGCATTGGAATCATTTGTTTTCTCCTTGAATTAAATTTAATAGCAATTCGGAAAAGGAGTAAAAATCGACATTATCAAATGACCAGGAATATTTCATGTATCATTTTTTATTGGGCTAAATTTATTTGTTCTCCTTCAAGAACAGAATCCAAAAAAATTCAAGATAAAGTTATAAATTATCATCGTCGGAAGAAAAGAAATACTTCAAGGATCAAAATGTAGACTTGTGGATCATGATGAAAATTTTCTATAATGCAAATTAAAAATTTTAATGGGAGCGCTCGTATTGAAATATTTCTTTGAAAAAACTATGAAAAACTCGGAATCAAATTTGATTTTTTTCTACAAAACTCAGAGTAAGTTTGATTTCACCTGAAAAAGGCTGAGAAATAATAAAAAATTTTAAAATAACTATTTATTTTGAGACTCCCACTCTTAAGCATTTTTAATAAAAGTCAACCTTTTTTCAGATAATTTTCATAGTTTTTTAGAGTTTTTCTGATAATTTTCCAAAATTACCAGAATTTTTTCAAAGATTCTCAGAAACATTCAAAGAGAAAAAAAGGAACAATCTTTCTGAAATTCTCTAAAAAACTTAGGTTGCACCTGAATTTTTCAAAACGTCTACTTTTTCAAATAAAATCAAACTTCCTCCAAGTTTTATAGAAAAAATTAAATTTTATTCCAAGTTTTTCACAGTTTTTTCAAAGAAATATTTCCGTACGGGCAATTGCTCAAGAAACAATTTATCAAGTCATATTTTCTACGTTCCAATCATCGAACAGTTCGTTTAAATCACTGAGGAATTTTTCTTGAATTTTCGAACTTTTAGGATGATCACTCCCAAGTAATTTAAATTTTCTAGGTATTTTGGCTGATTACATGAAGACATCAAAATTTACCATTATTCCTAGGGAGTTGAGCTCTCAAGCCACCTGGCTCTCTACGGTTTGATCGATGTCACCACAATTTTAGCTTTCATGTTTTATCACAATTAATAGTTTGATGTTGTTAAAACAAGTTACAAGTTATTGTCATTTTTGCACAATTTTATTATCAATTTCGTGCAATAATTCCTTGTTTTCAGAATAATTAAGTAAATAAGGTATTTATTATTCGTAGATGTATCCTAAATTAAGTCTCTTAATGCATATTTTGGCTCTAATTTTTGTGGCGAATAATTAATGTATTCTTCATAAAGTATTGCATTTTATTATTTAAAGTAATCAATGATTTTAACAGCATTATGTTTGTTTTCCAATATGCTATGTTTTCACAAGCTTCAAATGTCTTCTTTTATTTTGATAAACAACTTCTTAAAAACAAAAAACTCCTTAGATTAATTTATAAATATTCATTTTCTTCTTGTTTATAAAATAAATTCAATGTATTATCAGAAAAGTAAATAATAAAGCATATTCATGACGATATTGTCTATTCTTCGATATACAGAATATCTGTATAAATTCATCTAATGTATTATTTAGGGACAGGGGACTGGTATCCCCTTCTCGATTTTCCAAATTCCCGGCCGCACGGTTAGAGAAAAAAAAATAACCCTGCAAGTACAGCGTATGCAAATACAGTGTACCTTTACCCTCATTTTAACCTTTTTTTTTCAAAAAACAAAAATAAATTCAGCACAACGGGGCAACGTCGTGTCCTCAAATAATACCTTTATGTAGACCAATGGCTCAAATAATACGTTGGATACATGATTTTTTTGGGGGACTGTCCCTAAACTATCAAATGTCCTTGAATAATACCTTGTACTTCAAAAATGTCCCCAAATGACACTCTGATTAGATTTATACTACTATATAAATTTCTGGTGTCTGTCTGTTCGTGGTAATCTTCGGAACGGCTGATCCGATTGCGATCAAATTTTGCAGAATTGTAAAGGGAAGTGTGGAAGGCTCTGAACGGGAAATGTCTTCTCTTGCTGAAATTGAGTGACAAAACATATAAAACGTATTAAAACATACTTTTTTTGTTAATAACAATTACATTTTTTATCAAAAATTGAAAACAGGATTTATTCCATGAATTTCAGTTCTTCCAACGTGAACGTACACATTACGCGGACGAAGTCGTGGAAATCTGCTAGTGTAATATTATAAATACTAAATTGAATAGAAATCATTAATATTACAATGCTCACGCAATGATAACAAAACTGACATGTAGATCTATGGTATGAAGCTCTAGTGTAATTCTCACTTCCTACTATTGTGAAACTCTTCCTATTCAATAACTGAAATTTAAAAAAATGCAATAGTTTTTAATGTTAGTGATAATGTATTTTCTATGTTCCCGTGTAGCCAGTGCTTACGTCCGACAACACTCGTCCAAACGGCGTACGTCTGTTTCCGATATAGCTGTATGGTAAGTTTAACGCTAGAACTGGACGTAAGACTCCAAGCATCAGTCGAACGAAATTGTTCCAAGTATACTCTGCATCAGATTTTACCCAGCAGACTTGCGGCAAAACGAAGGCAGTCTCTGATGTTGTGATCCCCCACATTATGATCTGAAAGTGATGCTCATTCTGATTTTACAATGTGGCGGCTCCGAGAATTCGGGCGCCAAATTTAAAGATTTCAAGTACAGCCCTGAAGCAGGCGAGTAAGGCGCTAAGAGTAAGCAGTGGCGAAGAGAAGAAAGACTCAAGCATCTATGCTAGACAGCTACACGTGTGGAAGTGAAATATATTTGTTTAATTACATAAAGATAATAATAATTTAAATTTTATAAATAAATAAACTAAATTGTTTAAATAATTGTTCTTATTCCAAAAATCCTTCTTCCCTCTGAAAAAGGCTAAAACAAGCATCTTCTAGCGCTGCGTTGCGGATACTAAAACAGAGGCCTATTTTTAGAAAAGATGCTTACCTACAAATTAAAAAATTTTCGGTACTTATGAATGGCGCTACTCGATAAATTTAAAAAATATACGGACTTTAATCAAGCGATCTAATTAATCAACGAATTAATTTATTAATATTAAAAAAGATTTTCCCCCCCTAAATAAATTTGTTACCACGCATGTAAATTAAATTTCAATACAGTACTTTTTATTACTTATTGCTACTGATGACTGTAATGATTTTCGAAAAGGATATTTTTAATTATAGGTTTTTAAATGATAAAATTCCATTTTAAGTTCATACATTTATTTTTAATCTTTTCAAAAAATATAAAATTATTTAATTACTATAAAAACAAATGAGTTCAATATTTCTCGCACACACACACACTTATAATTTTTTACGTAAAGGTATACATTAATATTCAATGAAAGTGTTAGTGATTAATTTTAATATTTTATTATAAAAAAAGATAAGTAATTTATTCATTATTATACTATCTTTTGTCTCATCATTTTCAACTTTCATTGTTGTTTTTTATTTGACGTCGCAGCAAATCGCGGTGACGCTATTTCAAGGCACATATTGCTTGAATCATACCAGCACTAAATACTGTTCTATCAGAGAAAACGGGTAATTGGATAATGCATTAAGAAATACATTCGCAAGTTTTGATTTAAATAACAGTCTGCTGGCTGTCTTTGCTTTTATCTTGCTTCTAGTTGAAATGAACGGACAATTAGGAAGACATTGCTTCGGCCAAAAAATTATTCAATACTAGTTGCAGATCGGTTCCTCCTAATTTTTCTAGAAAACCTTGCAATGACATTTTTAGTTAGGAATCTTTTTCAAACGATTCGAACTCTTCGATCGTTTTTCAAGGAAATTGAAGAGGTTTTTCAAATGAATAATTTTTTTTGCGTTATTAAATTTATGATATCCTGTTTGAAAGTATCCAATTGTTTTTTTATATCTTCAATTTAGGGGATAATCATTTGGGATAGTGAATCTAACAGCTCAGTTTTTAAAGTGCTCATATCTATCAAACTCGGTATATGATTTATTGGATGAACTATTGAATTATCTACGTAATTGTCATTGTTACATGATGACTCAGCGATATTGGAATTGAAATATGGCAAATTCAATTTGACGTCTTTAATATTTATTGCAGAAGGTAATGAACGTGGAACGAAATTGTTAGTGGATGGTTGAAAAGAGTCATTGTCAGTGTGTTCTACATTGATGAATTCGCTATTATAGTGATTATCATTTAGGATATTGATAGCTTGCGGAATGCTCAGAGGAGCATAATCGGTGTTAACATTAGTTGAGGCGGGAAGGTCATCAGTTTTATGATGTCGTACAGTGATGTTATTCACATCTTCGTCAATGTCGATTGATCGACGCTGGATCTTTGCACGGCGCCGTTCAGATATTTCGTCAGATATATCGATTTCCAATGCTTCGATAAATTCTATATCACATTGAATATACTTATTTACAAATATACTTACTCTAAAAAAATATAAACTTCTTTGGATTCGCTAATTTACTTCTAGATCTTCAATAAAACGTATGAATTTTTCACAATTTTCTTTATGCATTCGATTTAAATAAGCTATTTCACAGTTCATGAACTTAATGCGAAATTGATGGATTTCATGTAGAGGTTTTATCCAAAAATCTATGAACGCATTATACTGTTCTCCTCTTTTTACTTTTGTAGTAGTAGGCATATCATATGACGTGTAATTTTTTGTTTTTATAAAATCATGACAAAAAGCCACCCCTTCATCAGACATGATGAACTCTCTGATAAAAGATTGAATCAACTTTTCTTCATTCAACGCCCATTTGATGAAACTTTCTGCTAATTCTGCATGGCCCGTTGATATGTACTTTCTGCATTTTGCACGTCCTATCTTATGGCCTATTACTTGCTTTGTTTGCTGAATTTCCTCTTGTGATGGCAGGCACCAAAATAAGAATGCTTCCATAGTACTAACGAGGTCCTGAATGAGAAAAAAATCAGTGAACAACGTTTCTCGCACGGAATTAACTATTTTTTCTTTTTTGAAGTATGCTACTTTTTCGTCTGACTCCAACAACCAGGATAAAAAATTTGAAGATTTCTCCATTGCATTATTAATATTTATTCCGCACGACTTCCAGAAATCATATATCCTTTCAATTGAAGAAATGTCATTTAGGAAAAAATCTATGCATCTTTTACTCTCCTCCTTCGTTGCAAATTGCCAATTTAGATACTTATCTGCCAAATCATATTGTTCTTTATCAATAAAATATTGACAAAGTCTTAGATAATCTATCCCACTTTTAAGATATTGCCTCTCTTCAGGTGTACTACATTGCCAATCCAGTAGCTTATCAACCTGGTCATATTGGTCTTTGACGATAAAGTATTCCCAAATATTCATGTTTTGCCTGAACAATTTTTTATCTTTTTCACAATTAAATATCTCTCTTATCAACTGATTTAATAACTCATATTGATTATTTTCAATTAATTCAATATATCCATCTTTTCCTGATCCTATAAACTCATCCCTGACATCTACTATTGCTGGATCATTAAATATTAATTTAATACTATTTATATCTCCAAGAGCTATCAACTTACTTATAACATTTTCATAAGGAAGCTCGTCTACAATTTTTAGTTTAACTGATTTTGGAATGCTACACCAAACTTCATGTAAAATACTTTGATATTTACTATTTTCTGTGACATAACCCAATTGATGGTTTTCAATTATTTTATCTGTAATTTCTTCTAATAAATAATAAACAGTATGACTTTTATGTTGTGAATATTGCAGTACATTATTTAATACAGGTATGAGTAGTTCTTGCCAGGGCCAGACAAAGAAAAACATCCTTAGAACTGTTGCTCCCATACAATAGTCTTTAAAACTAAGTGGATCTTCTTCATTATCGAACAGTAATCGATTATAAAATAACAGTCTTTGATCATTAGTCATTTGATTGATCAAAAAGATGTAAATTTCTATATATTTTTCTTTTTTATAGCTTGCTACATGTTCTTCTGAATTTTCGTAAATACCATAATTTAATACAGCTGTACGAGCACAGTTTATTACACTGTTGTTCCTCTGCTCCACTGTTAATTTTTTCCAAAAATATTTTACAGCTAAACTGTATCCTTGATGTACCGACAACCACAACATATTTTGATCAACAGAATCATTTAAATCATATCCATAATCATATAGTTCTCTTCTAATAAAATCGCTTGCAGTTGCTTCATAGTGCGAAATTAAGTTTGATAAATCTCCATCTCTACGATGTTTCCAATAAGCTAAAATGTGTCGATCATAATTCTTATATATGTCATTATAAAATTCTTTTTGAATTTTGGGTAGTATTTTTTCCCATAAGTCATTGATGTGTTCTTCCAAGGCATCACTGCATGCAATGTTGTACACTTTCGCAACATTTAGATGTAAATTTTTCAACCAAAATGTCTCCAATATTTTGACTTCATCAGCAGTGCCATAAGGCGTCCAATATATTCTGTCGATATATTTAATTGCCGCTCGTTTTTCTCCATATTGGGATTCATTTTCATGCTCAATGTACTGATACCAATTATATATTTTTTCTCCTATTTCCTTTATAATATGTATCAAGTCTCTTTCTAAATGTAAAGGTAATAGATCTCTATTCCACTCATCCAATGCTTTTTTTATGAACTTCTTCCATTCATATTTACTGTTATGATCATCTAAGTCACCATAATTATTAAAGAATATTTTTACCTTGTCTTGTAAATTTTTTTTCCCCCAAAATGATATTGAAACACGCAACGCTGCTCTTTGTTGCAAATTTAATTGTAACTTTAATTGCATTTTTCAAATGCATGTTTTAATATTTATTGAAAAAAATATATCAAATAATGCATCAATACGTTGGTAATATAATTTTATTGAACTACAACAACAGTTCACGCCAAACGTGGTGTTGTCACTGCAAAAAAAGATGACCAATCTATATTTAACATTAGCTATATAGTTCAGCTTTAGAAAACTTATCTCTGCAGTACATGCAGTGCACTTGTTTCTCTCTGCACATGTGCACTTGCTAACACTGAAGAGGTCGGTAACTTACCGTGAATCTATTCTGTTTCGGAATATTGTTTTTTTCATTTTAATTTGACAGCTATGTGAATAAAAAAAATGTCAAATTAACATAAAAAGTGTAATATCATAAATAATACTTACCATATAAATCTAAAAAACATTGTTTAAATATTGTACGGTAATAATATCATTTCAAAATGATTGTATTTGATAATTTTTTGGTTAATGATAACCTGTGTAGTCAGATATACTTAATATATAATTGAAAAAATGATATAATCGTTAGTTCACAATTGAAGAAATTCCAGATCAACATACTTTACGTTGACTGTCCTACTTTAAACTGATAAAGCAGTAGAAGTAATGTAAAAAATTAAACAGCACAATTCCTAACCTCAATCTGACTTTAATGTATTGATAAAATTTATATCCGTGAAAAAGCGAGTTTAGATATGACCATATCAGATCAGTTTTATGAGACAGTACTGATCTGATCAGGTGGTACAGATATAATCAGATTAAATTTTCAGATATGTTTGAATCTGATCGGAACTAAAGAAAGTTGATAATTTTCTCTAGACAGAAAAATCAGATCTGATCATATGTAGAAAAAAATTTATTAGTCTGAATCTTAAATCTGAAAAAATTTTATCATCTGAACAAATTTGAAGAAAAATACATCATTTTCGTTAGAAAAAAAATCAGATTCAATCAGATCTGCGAAAAATTAATCATTCTTCTAAAGAATGTAATAAGAATAAATAGCTTTAGTGATACAAATAGATGATTTAAAAATAGCATCTTAAGTTTTCTAGGTAAGCGGTGACTATGCAAGTCTACAGTTACGAGGGTTCCAAGATCGAGTCTACCTAAGTTTCATTATTATTTTACCTCAAAAATTAATTTCAGCACAGAAAGTAAATAATAATCACATAAAAATATTTATTATATACATAAATATAAATATAAAACACTTTAAGTGTTTTAAATTAAAACTCTACCACAGAACTTTCAATTGACCATCAATTGAGGTATTGACCCTTAAAAAGTATTCAATAATTTAAAATGAAACTCGTTTATTAAATATAGCATTAATATACAAAGCGACACGCATGGAATGAAAAATATGGGATCTATAAGATCGAACAAATCAAGTATAATAAACGTTGTTGCATCTTAACAATTTTTCCAGATTTATTACCATTTATTTTCATTAATACTATTCAAGGCATGACATCGAAAGTGTAAACATTAAAATTCTTTAAAGAACTAGGAACAATGTTTTTTTTTTATAGATAAAATTCATTTTATAACTCACTAGAATTTCATGTAAGTGTCTTACTTGTAAAATGAAGAAAATGATGATGATGAAGATGATTATGATGATCTTGATGATTATATAATAAAGCCTTACATATCTCGATAATATAGTAAATAATATTATCTATGACTCCGATCTGACCAATTTTAGTTGAACAAATTATTAAATCATGCGTAAGTTTATATTTTTTGATAGTGCACGAAAAAATATTTCGTAAAAGTTACTACTCAAGAAAAAATTTTCATATATGATCGTAAACAGAAAATTGGCTACATGTTTCATTAGAAACATACATGTGAACTTTATTAGTCATGTGTGATTCATGATCATAGATGAAAAATTTTTCTCGCGTACTAAAAGCGCCTCGAAATAGAGAACCATGGACTGATAAAAATATATGGACCTTCGTGCGACTCAAAAGATTGCTTTTAATATCTCTAACACTCTTACTCGTTTTACACGTAGTTGACTAAAATCTGTCGAACCACTTTGAACTTTTAATTTTGGATATTTTGCTTATTCTTCAACCAATCGTCTTTATCTCGTTTCATTCCATAGATTGTTGTTGCATGAATCTTTTCCTGGAGGTATTTCCTTATTTTATCTATTTATTCGCCTAAAACTAGTGCGCAAAGATCCGTATACTTTTATCTATCAATATTTTTTAAGCATTGCAATGTAATTAGAATTCTTAAAATATTTTAATTTTTTAATTAAAAAATGAATGGAAATTTTTTTATTCAAATAATTAAATTAATTTCGAGTCCTACATTCTCTCACATCATTAAAAGTCGTAATCCAAAAGTAAACTCCTCATGTGATTTTCCAACATTTTGTGATTATTAAGGATAGTGTAGTAACTTTTACTTAAAATCACTCTCAAAACAGTTAAATTAACTAATAAATATTAAACTCAGAAATTGTCAAGGTGCAGCAATATTCAATTAATTTATCTAATAAATAAATTAACGTATATCAATCAATTAAGTAAATAGAATTTACTAAAGATTGTTAACAGATATAATTTGATTTATCCAGCCGATAAAAGCTGATACTTTAACATAAACACCAGGAACATCAACTCTTCCGCAACCAAACCCCCATGATACAAGTCCTGCTAGTTCATAGAATCCATCATCCAGACACACTAAAGGACCACCTCCATCACCCTAGAATTATTAAAGTAAACATTTTTAAATAATCATCGATTGATTAAGCAATTTTTAAATTACTCATAGTGAAAAAAGGGTAAATAAAATGACAGTTTAATTAATTAGATTAAATTTGGAGTATCTATTCCTCTTTAAAATTTATTAATTAAACATTAAGTTTTTTGGGTAATTGTATCGAAAAATCCTCACATTCTCAATTTCTTTAGGATTGACATATATTGTCTAGAATAAATTTAATTTAGGCCGTAAGAGGGCCGGCGGACCACCGAAAGCCATGATGAGTGCAAGCATGAAAAGTAAGAAATAAGATACAAGTGGAGATAGCTTAAGTAGTAGAGCATCCTAGCGCAGAACTAGGAGGATCCGGGTACGAGTCCCGGTCTCACTAAGTTGTCTTTTTTCTGAAAAAGTAGGCCTGTGCAAGTTTTGGTGGACTGCAACGAGGGGGGAGGGAAGTGTGAGGGCAAAAGCATACAATTACCGTTTTTTGTTATTCATTAATTGTTAAAACTAAGTTGACCAATTTTGATACTGGTATTGAAGAAAAAATCATCTAATACAATGATATAAAAAAATAAGTCTCAGCACACTTTGTCTGTGCTAACATGATAAACTTTCCATTTGTAATTGTTTATAACAAATTCATATTGTTATAAACAATGTGTAATTGGTGAGTCATATTTGATTGTGAACAATAACGTCTAGTCAATATCGACTTCATTTTCGAATAAAATTGTTATTCTTTTGCTTAAAAGTACTTTAAACAATTAATTTTTTGATTTATTTATTATTAGTTTTTTTGTTATAAAAAAACGGCTTAACCGATTTTTTTCAAATTTCTTTTCAATTTTCTTTATAATAATATCTTTCGAATAAATTTTAGTTGAAGTTGATATCTCGATCCGTTCTGGAGATATCAAAAACGAAAAAAAATGCTGACATCCGTACGGACATACGTACGTACACACACACATCATTCTAAAAATTGGTCAGTATGCTTGCAAATATCTTGAAACGTGGAGATACGATGAGAATTTAAATTTCACCAATCGACCCAATTTCAATAACTTCCTAATGGGAATACGAACATATTTATTAGATTAAGGTAAGTCCGGGAGAGACGGCCAATCGAAATAATTTATAAAGCTGCTGATTAAATGTCGCTAGTAACTGTTTAGTTCGCTTCGCATCGCGCGTGGGATCAAAACTACTACCAAATTTTGGAGAAAGAAATCAAAAAGTAGGGACACCTAGTCAACAGTCCTATAAATTATTATGATTTGCTATCTCTTCCTTATGGCTCTCTACCCCAGACTTACCCTAAAAACATACTCATATTGCTACTTTCTATAAATGGGTGTCCACAACATAACTGAAAAAATACTAGAAGACTATTTCTAGAGGGAATTTTACTCTTCCTGTACTACATCATACCACGATTTCCCTACATTGCAGGATGCTTTTTATTTGACTTTTTTTTCCTTGTAAAGATGGTATTATTCAAGTATCTTCATTTTGGATTAGTTAAGAATTTCATTTACCTGGCATGCATCATTCCCAAGTTCACCGCCCGCACAAAAGCTGCTAGCAGGTAAAATGAAGATTTTTTCTGTAACAGCATTCACTTTTCTAATGCATTCAGCATCACTAACGATAGGTATTTCTGCTTCCCGTACTTTCAGAGGGATTGGACCAGCTGAAAAAAATAAAGATATTTTGAAAATAAAATTTTAAAATAAAAATTCAAAAATTCATGAATAAAATCGTGCATACAAAAAGTATGATTCCCGATTCATTTACAACATTTACAAATCAATTCCAACATTTTATTAAATATTTAAAGATATTAATTTTGATGGTATTTTAATTATTTTTACCATAAGAAAAATTGGTAATAACTTAGAGAAAAAAACGGGTCTGGACTTAGTTTGTGCCCTGAACTCCCTATTAATTAAAATCCGTCATTTTGTCACCTTTTAGTTTTTTTGTTTATAGAAAATTTTGTTTTTAAACAATATTTTATTGATATTTATCGAACATCATCATAGTAATAATAATTCAATCAATTAAAATCATTTTTAATTGTTTACAACAAATTGAATTGTATTTTTAGAGTCATATGAAGTTGTTAACGACCATGTTATATTGACCTCAATTGTCAATAATGTTAATCATCTAATAAGTAGAATCTATTTCAAATGTCTTCTTTACTTAACTTATTTTATACTCTTTTTATTAAAAAAAAGGAACTGCTGGACTGAATTTGTTCAAACTTCTTTCAGATCTTCTTCATTATATTTTCTTTAAAATAAAATTTGTCCGAAGTCGATATCTTCAGTGGTTCTCGAGATATCGAAAACGAAAAAAAACCTAACATGCGTACGTACATACATCTATTTTTAAACCTTACAATATTTTTTCAAATGTCTCAAAACATAAAGATGTGATAAAATTACGAATTTCAAAAATCGACTCCATTACAGTAACTTTCTAATAGGAAGTTAATAAACAGATGTAATTATACTGCACATCGTAGTGTTTTAATTTAAAACACTTAGTGTTTAAAAATGACATCGTCCACTTAATTAATATTTAATGCACTTGGAAGTGTTTGAAAAGTTACTACAATGTTAATCAAATGGGTGACGTCATTTTAAAACACTTTAGATCCGATAACCAGAGGTGATTAGATCAAACCTGACCAGGACAAAATCTAGATTTAATTCTTTAATGTTAGTAAAATTATCAGAGTGGAACTCACCTTCACCCATGTATCCATATCCTGTAACAGTACACCTCATTCCAGCGGTATGACTGACTCCTCTAGCGGGTAAACAAACTAAACACACGCCATCCTTGAGTTCAGTCTGTCCATGTAATTTCAACAGAGCTATGTCGTTATCCAATGTCTGGCTATTGTGATTATGATGAATATAAGTAGTAGCAACTCTTAGAGTTTGTGCACCAGGACTACCATATTTCCTTGTAAGATCATGATCACCAACACGTACATAAATTGCATCACCCGACCTGACAATACTATTTTCAAAAACCATAAATTATTTGTTCATTGGACTTATTTAGAAATAAAATCATTTTCTCTGTGATTTGATGATTATTTACTTACTTGGTAACACAATGAGCTGCTGTTAAAACCCATTGGGTTCCAATTAAAGCACCTCCACAAAGATATTGATTGAGTGAATTTATCAAAGCAACTTGCCAACACCATTCATTAGCATCAGCATCTTCTCCACCAACTACTCGACCATCTCTTGAATAACTGCGAGCCTGCACAGGACCTCGAGATGTGCCTTTAACTCCACACACATATTTACTGTAAATTGGAGCTTTAGATGTTGTAGGAGTTGGTAATGTTGTTGAGAGAGGCAGTAACGGTGTATCATCTATATTCAATAAAAAAAAATGTTCAATGAATGAATCGAATTATTTATGAAGCAAACAGCCATGTTATATTCATAAAGCTTACATGGTACAGTAGGAACAAATGTAGAAGTATACGGCCTTGTAACTGATGGAAATGTATCATTTCGATTTGTCAAAATATGATCTTGACTGGCATTTCCATTGTTATATTCACGAATTATTGATTTAGGAGCGCAACATTGATGACCAAATTTCTTGCATTTAAAAATGGTAGTTAATTCAGCATTTCCTAACATTTTTGTAAAAGACATAATTAGTTCAATGTTAGTTTAACAATTATTGTTGCATCAACTAATACTTACTAAAACATGTAAAAGATAGGTAAGACATGATACATGATCCTGGGCATTCAGGTCGAGAATCTGGTGGTAAAGATGCAGGTGTTGTTGATGCTTTCGTGGGTACTGGTTTTGGCCGTGGTCGTTGAGTCTAAATGAATATATGAAAAGTTTTAAATGTCTATAAACTTGTTAATTAATTAACTTGATCTGAGAAAAAATTAATCCTTATTAACAGTATAATCATTCGATGTTTCTAATTTAAATATTCAAATACTTTTATTTGAGAATGATTATCTAAAAAAATATTTATATTATTTTTTTCTCAGAATAATTATGAGCAATAACCATCGTACAGTAGGTGGTGCATTACTATCATCACAACAAATAGACCCACTTGAACACGTCGACGTTTTTGATACAATGAGACTAGGCCGTTCACAGAATGCTGCCATTATTGTCAACAAACAGTATCCTTTACAAGGAGGTAATTTTGGTGCTGGTGGTTTTATGGTTGGTTTTAATGTTGTAGTTATTTCCTGCAATCGCCAAAAATTTTGAATCAGTAAATTCGCTAACTAATGAATTACACACTCCTGATAAAGTAACATTTAATTTAATTTATTGGAAAAAGTTTTACTCCGTAAACTGTTCTGTTAACATTGAACGAATAAGAACAACAACCGATAGCACGAGTCAGAAAATTTTATCTGTTTTACGACTTTTTGATGAAGACTGAATTTGTCCTAAAAAAACTCCTGTTTTATTCCTGATACCATGAAATATTTAAGTAAGTTTTTTTCCGCAATTTTCAATAATCGCGGAGAAAAATAGATATTTTTTTCGTCTGTTTTTTTCTTTCGAACTGACAAATTAAGGGTAAGTCCATGATTAGTACATTTATTTATTCTGTACAAATAAATGTATTAAATATAAAACTAAATTTAATAAAAAATCAATAAATAATTTACAAAATAAAATATAATGAAAAATAGCAATAGCCAATACTAATAACGAAATTGATTATAAAAATTATATTCGTTATTCGCTTATTTGTTTTATTGTATGGCTTTTCTCAAAATTTATATTAATTTAATCTACGATTCTCTTTTATTTGTGCTGTTTCTTCCACTTACACTCATCAGAAAGACCATGCTCATGAACTCATTGAGAAAAATATTGAAAAAAGTAACACAAAGTTTTTTTTTTTTGGATTTGAACTTGCGACCCTTAGAATCCTAGTCCAACATATGGCCACTACGCCATTTAGACTTTAAGAATATTGTTGTTATATTTAAATCTTAAGTTACACACTCGATTATATATATATTATAAAAAAGAGAAAATGAGACAAAATAAAAACAAGCGGAGAAAAACAGATGAAGATGAGGACAAAATCAGATGAACTAAAGTTTGCAGGAGAAAAGCAGAAGTAGATCTATAATCAAGGAAAAAATCCCACTAATTTCGGAATAAAACAGGTAAAATCATCAATTTTAGGTATAAAACAGACGAAATTTTTCGACTCGAGATAGTAGACTCAGTTAGCTGTAGAAAATTAAGGATTGTAGTAAATGTTTATGTAAATTGAGTAGAAATAGACAGTAATCTATGAATGATAATTGGTATTGAACAAAACTAAAGAAAGTTTATTATTTTCAATTGATTTTGGTCCTTGATATTTACCGTTTTAGAAGGAATATTGGTTGTACAACAAGATCCATCTGAAGGACAATCTGCATCACGATCGATGTTATCACAAAACAGGGCCAAAAAATGGCTGACACATTCACCTTGACATGGTTTCTTAGAGACAGGTTTTGGCTTGATTGTAGCCAATGTTGCTGCCAAAGGGAAAACTGAGGATGATGTTGGTGAAGGTGATGATAGGAGTGATGAAGTAGTTGACGGTCTTAATGTACTTGTTATCTTTTCATAGCCAACTTTTCCATCAGTTTTAGTCAAGTTCCCTTTGGATCGATCAATCACATAGAATTCAGGTGGTGGATTGTTACCAAAAGTATCTTTTGAAACACAACATCGTAGTCCAGGTTTACATAGGGTATCAATATTAACAATAGCTTCACAGTACTCGGCTATTCGTAATTCAATGCACATCCCAGAACATTTTGAAACTAAAATTCACAAAACAAAATCTTGAGATATTTTTTTAGTGATATTGAACATATATGTATAAGAAAAGATATTTCAACATTTTAAAAATTGTCTCTCATATGATGGGAATTGAAAAACCATTTATCTTCCATAAAATATTCAGTTTAATCACATATTGAGCCAATAATAATTATATCATTTTAAAAAATCTATCATTTTACGGTACGGTATAAAGACTTTGAAAAATGGTTCCCCATGAGAGAACATTTACTAGTTCTATCTTCTATAGTTGATAACTACCCGGGAAAAAATAAAATAGATCTACATTGATCTACTCAGATATATTTGTTGGCACAATTAGATTTACTTTGTTCTGTGTACATCTGTTTTGATCACTTTAGATCTTTTGTCATTTCTGTAGATGTATTAAATTTTCCTTATCATCGAGATCAATGGAGATCTCCATAGACATACAGTAATTTGTGTAGATGTACAGTGATTTTACTAGATGTACATAGATTTACTTGGATCAAATTTTCTCTAGTTTTTTAGATATGAGTAGATCAAATTAGATCTAAAAAATGGCGAAAATGTGGATCTGTGTAGATCTATTTTATTTTTTCCCGGGTATATCTTAAATTATAACTTGTAGATATTTTAGTTATAGTTATGATATTTATATAGATAGATGTTTATATAATCAATTACTTATTGGAATTAAATGAAAATAGATAAAAAAAAGACATTTATAAATGTCTTTTTTTGTATCCGTAGCGATATATATATCACTATTAATATCTAATTGTTATCATCAATTTTCAACTTAATATCATTTTATGATGCAGATAGAGATTTAGTGAACTGCAAGATATTTTCGAGAATATTGAGGGTTTAAATATTTCGTGAGAAATAGATTTCATTGAAAATGACATTGTAGAAGATTCGAGAGGGTAGTGTGTATGCATAAACATGTTTTTAAGCTCCTCCCAATTACCGGATTCCAATAATGTATATTATTTAATCTCTAAAAATACTTACGTTAAGGTTTTTTTTTTTAATTTTAATACCTCTAATGGAAAAAAAGAAAATGTGTTTACCTGATTGATTGTCACCAGAATTTTTTAAACTCCCCTGAAAAAAAAAATTGTATCAAAACAAACTATTATACTATGGTAAAACTTATTGAAAAAATTACCGATGCTATCGTAGATGGTACAACTGCTGTTGCTGATGTTGTTGTTATAACTGGTGTTGTTGTTGTAGAAACTGTTGTGGATGCTGTAGTTGATGAAGGAATCGTAGTTTCTTTTACAGTTGATGCAGTTGCTTCATCTTCAATGTCATTTTCAGAAGCAGAACTATCCGTGCTGTTAGTAGCTTCATTTACACAGCAGCGCATGCTTGGTGAAGGACATTGAACCTCCTCAAGGACGTCATCACAAATCAAGGTCGCTAGTGCATGTACACAAACTCCTGGACAATTGTCGCTATTTGCGGTACTTGCTATCGAGTCTAGGAGACCTAAAACAATGCATTTAATTATAAAACAAAACCGCTGATTAAAAGCACTTGGAAAACATTTTTAAAGGTTAAAATAATTTATTTTATTATAAATTGAAGTTATTTCTATTACTATAATTAATTGAAAAAATTTTTCGACCATTTCAATCCAAAAGATGAGTGGTTAATGTTTAGAAGAATAGAAAGGAAAATATTTTTTGTTTTCAAAAGGAATTGGACTAATTATGATTATTATTATAAACTTAAAATTAATATGATAATGAATAAGTTGGATAAATAACATTGAAAAAACTTATTCTTATCAGAAGTATCCTAAAAAATCTAGTAGTGTGAGTTAATTATTAAATAAATAGTGACTGTATACACTACAAATCCGGGAAAATTCAAGTGTTTAGTAATAAATCACTTAAAGTGTTTAATAATAAAACACCAAAGTGTTTACAATATTGAACACCATAAACTTTAGTATTTTGGTGCTCGGCAAGAAGCAAAATTACCATAGTTTGTTTATGGCATATAAAATTGTAAACACTCTAAGTGTTTAGTTTAATTTTTGCTCTATTAGCTGTAGCAGAAAGCACCTCAAAAATGATATGACGAAATACATCCTAATTACTGCGTTTTATTATGAAAAATGATTTTATTTACAATATAGAAGGTTGCAAGGATGTCAGCAGATAACTTTTTCCAGCGAAAAATTTGTAAAAAAAGAATAATGAATTGTTTTCTCTTGACGGCCATGAAGCATGAAAAATTTAGTAATAATTCGATGACAATTCTCTTTCTAATTAAATTTAATTAAAATATAAATTAATAAAATGGAATGTTTATCAGCGGCATTCTACATAAAATAGGCTTTATTTTGATACCAAAATCAGTGGATATAGTTACAAATTGGCTAATAAATTAGTTATTTCCCGACTCCTTGGGATTTTCTAGGGGGAAACCGAAGTAAAGGCCAGCCTTAAGGAGCTCTTCTCTACACCCAATATTATCCAGGTATTTAATAATAAGATGAAAATTCCTACATCCATAGAATGTATTTATATATAAATACATTCTTCGAACATAAGATTATAGCTTAAGTTGAGATAAGTCATTGAACTTCATCATACGTTTGATATCTACATTATATTTATGTGTTAATTATTTTAGAACCCATTAATAATATGCTTGAAAAGTGACCAAATATAAATGAATAACTATACAAAGAGATTTTTTTTTCAAAACAGATTATTGATGAATAATAAACTAAGCTATTATTATGTGTCGTACAATATTTCGATCAAAAAAAAAATTATGAGTTATTTATTTGAATGTTATTTTTTATTATATATAACGTAACAGATAAACGAGAGTGAAAGAGAAGCAATTAACGGTAATATTTTTCCATTATAATAATCCTTACGAGTCGTACGACGCGGTTTCACTTCGGCAGAGACATAACGGCCTCAAACAAACATAACGGTAGATAAAGAACGGTGCACGTAAAAATTATTGACTAGCAAAGTTGATTTTAAGCTCAATCTATTGATTAATCAATTACCTAAGAAAAATAATATCCATGAACACTATGGAATCAAAAAAGGCAAAGGGAATAAATGACACAAAAAAAGAAACATGATAAAAACATAATCGGAACATATTTGATTTATATGAGTCCCAAAATAACCTACAAAAGAATTATTTTTCTGCAATAAATCACGTTTAAATAACATTAAAAATTGTTAAATTTAATTAATGATTGATAGATGATGAACTCTTTGAGCTTCATGGCTAAAATGCAGTCATTTATTTTTATACTGATAATACCGTTGTATAGTTATTAAACGAGCCAAGTAAAGCAGCTTTCTTACGATCCGCATAGCGTTTTACCATCAACTAAAGTAGGACAGGCGCATCCTCTGTGTGATTTTACCAATAAACCGTGTCGCCAATTTCTATTTCTCGAAACTTCCGGCTTAAGATTTTCTTAATTAATCGTTTTCTTCAACTTATAGTGTTTACAAAAAGTCAACTTTTTAAATTATTTTTCATCTGATCGACAAATCATTCATACAAATAACTCCCATGGTTACGTGATTAATAAAGATTATTTTTTAATTAATTAACGTTATTCCATTAATTTTTGTAATGACGATTAATTATTTAACTTACTTGGAAATTAATGAATCAGTTTATTAAAAAATTGAATTATTTATTATAAATAAAAACATCCAGATTAATAAACTAAGAGCGTCAATTTTCTGAGTGTTTAATAATTAATTAACTAATTGGAGAAATTATATTGTCAAGTACTAATTATACCTGATAAAAAACTTCCTGCGAGGGAGTCATCGTCTTGTGATTTCACATATGTTACAAAACTTAATAAAATAAATAACGTCCACAACTGTTTTTTAAACTTCATTAAATTTTTTTTCATATTTAATCAGAATAATGATTATACTAGTCTATGATTCGATTCTTTCTCTTGGCTTGATGTAAACAAAAAATATTTTGATTAACTTATTGGATGATAAATTTTTAAAAATAAACAATGCCGGTTTTAACACGTGCTCTCTGACCGTGAATTCCAATCACTTGAAACTTCATTGCCTAACTGACTTGACTTGTTGCTTCAACTTTATTTCACAGTTCAGTAAGAACACGTAACACTCACACGCCCCACTTGTGGATCAGGACGCGGAAATCCGGGGCCTTAAGAGTTCTGTCGACGACCTCACAAACGACGTTGCCCGAACTTGACCGAAAGAAAACGAAAGAGAATAGTCGAAAATCAAGTTTTTTCTATACAATTTTCAGGTTCACATATTTTCACCCCTCGTTATTTCAGAAAACATTAGAAACTCAATGAAAAGTTCTACCCGGGAAAAAAATTTTAGATCTAATTTTATCTGTATTATGAGATTTATAAATAAAGATAAATTTTTATCTAAAGATATCGACCCAGGAAAAAATAAAATAGATCTACACAGATCCACATTTTCGCCATTTTTTAGATCTAATTTGATCTACTCATATCTAAAAAACTAGAGAAAATTTGATCCAAGTAAATCTATGTACATCTAGTAAAATCACTGTACATCTACACAAATTACTGTATGGCTATAGAGATCTCCATTGATCTCGATGATAAGAAAAATTTAATACATCTACAGAAATGACAAAAGATCTAAAGTGATCAAAACAGATGTACACAGAACAAAGTAAATCTAATTGTGCCAACAAATATATCTGAGTAGATCAATGTAGGTCTATTTTATTTTTTCCCGGGTAAAAATAAATAATTATATCCAAATATGTAAAATTATATCTAAGTAGATTTAATAATATGTATTTTTATTCTTAAATATACGTTTTGGAATACTTAACATCAAGTTAAAATAAGATAAAACAATGTTCATTTTATTTGGTATGTTAAACAAATATTTATTATAGCAAACAAATACATTTGTTGAAATATCTCTATTCCACCCTTAGAAATTGACGAGACTCTCAAATTTTCAATTTTCATAAATAAAATCCCAATTTGTCGAAATAGAAGGATGTATTTAATTCTTCTTGTAAACATTTTTATTTTGCCGGAATAATTCAGCATCGATTTAAATTCACAAAGATGCAATTAATGAAAAATTCTTGAAAACATATTTATTATTGTGAAAAATCATCGTTGTCAGGTTTCTTTTCGAAAATTATTTGTACTATTTATTCCTGCTCAAGCCTTTATTCACATAATCAGTGGATTTTTGTTTTGCGAAATGCAATAATGATAGGAAAATTGTATTAGAAATGGATAAACAAAAAAAGCTTATCTAAACTTTAATAATAATTCGTATTTGTTTTATGAAGAAATCGATTTTCAAAGTTATTATGCTGAACGAAAATTAAAAACTTCCTGCTAAATAAGTATTATTTTTTTGTTGATTCACTTAGAAATGTCGGAATTTAAAAAGATTCACTAAATTATCAATTTAAAGGGCCCAAAACTGCCATCTTCGAATGTTAGTAAAATTTTGCTTCATGTACACGTCCAAAATGACTCTGCAAATAATAAAATACTCATTTTTAAATGATTAATTAGAACTTTTTCATTCGTAGAACAGATTTCAAATAACATCGATATAGTTTTCTCATTATCGTCCGTTGAATTGATTATCTGCCAATGTGAATTTTATTTAAACTCTTTCTTTGATTTTAATAATTGTTTTTCTGAAGAATTAACACTTGACTGTTTCTCAGATGTTCTTTCCATGCAGAATTTGTTTTTGTAACAATTGTTCTAAATTTTTTTGTAGTCCATTACAAATTCATTTTCTAAAATTTTCAACATACTTTGTCCTTTCATCATTCATTGAAAAAATATCATTATGATTTTTATGAAGTATTTGGGCTGGTTAAACCCATTTTTTCCTTAAGAAATTGTTTGCTTCTCAGTACGTTTAGGAAAACAAGAACAAGCTATTCCATTCCCTAATGATATTAATGCTTTTATTTAAATGATGCATTTCAATTGTTTTTGGATTTTGATTATTTGTTGGTTTATTCTTAATTATTTTTCTCAATCAACATATCTCAAAGTACTTGAAGTATCTTCAAGATTTTATTCTGCTGGATTTATAAAAGTAAAGTCATGGCTTCTACTGCTTTGATGATTCATGACAGTAATTTCTATAGCCTCGTTTTTAGATTCTTGAATTAAAAGCTCCAGTGATTCATGGATATATTGAATACGTAGTTGAAGATGATAGCTTTTTCCAAATTTTTTATCTAAAACTGATTTTGCTCAAGCATCATTTTAATAACATTTTGATAACGACGTTACTTTTCTGAACTGATTAATACTCTATTTTGGAAAATTATATTCTCACTTAATCATTACTCGTGATTACTGGATATATATATGGAATGATTACATTATTATTTTAAATTTTACCTTTTTTTTTTAATTGCAAATGAATGAAGAATTTGAAATATTGAGAGATATTTGAGTGCATGAATGTATCGCTGCTACTAAAATTGATTGTAAGAGAAAATATTATTATTAATATTGAATTGATTATTATTTTGACCGTTGCGATGAAAAAAGAGTTGTAAATAATACTAGCTATAAGAAATACTTTGATGTATATATATGTATATATTAGGTAAAACGATTTGTATGTAAATAAATTTTTCTAAATAAAACTTGATAACAATAAAATTCAAGATTCTCCTTTTTTTTTTCTTTTTAAATGCTCTTTATGAAAATTTATTATTTACTCTAATAAAATGAAAATATGAAAGAAAGTCTCTTTTTTTCTCGAAATTTTTTTTACTTATTTCTACATCATTTGAAGTATACCTTAAATTAAAAACACAAATTATGGAGAGAAATTTTATCGATAATTCTTTTAATTGTTAAAATATAAATATATTTATAATATTATAATGAGATAATTATAATTATCATAATCGCAACGGTCAAAATAATAATCAATTCAATATTAATAATAATATTTTCTCTTACAATCAATTTTAGTAGCAGCGATACATTCATGCACTCAAATATCTCTCAATATTTCAAATTCTTCATTCATTTGCAATTAAAAAAAAAAGGTAAAATTTAAAATAATAATGTAATCATTCCATATATATATCCAGTAATCACGAGTAATGATTAAGTGAGAATATAATTTTCCAAAATAGAGTATTAATCAGTTCAGAAAAGTAACGTCGTTATCAAAATGTTATTAAAATGATGCTTGAGCAAAATCAGTTTTAGATAAAAAATTTGGAAAAAGCTATCATCTTCAACTACGTATTCAATATATCCATGAATCACTGGAGCTTTTAATTCAAGAATCTAAAAACGAGGCTATAGAAATTACTGTCATGAATCATCAAAGCAGTAGAAGCCATGACTTTACTTTTATAAATCCAGCAGAATAAAATCTTGAAGATACTTCAAGTACTTTGAGATATGTTGATTGAGAAAAATAATTAAGAATAAACCAACAAATAATCAAAATCCAAAAACAATTGAAATGCATCATTTAAATAAAAGCATTAATATCATTAGGGAATGGAATAGCTTGTTCTTGTTTTCCTAAACGTACTGAGAAGCAAACAATTTCTTAAGGAAAAAATGGGTTTAACCAGCCCAAATACTTCATAAAAATCATAATGATATTTTTTCAATGAATGATGAAAGGACAAAGTATGTTGAAAATTTTAGAAAATGAATTTGTAATGGACTACAAAAAAATTTAGAACAATTGTTACAAAAACAAATTCTGCATGGAAAGAACATCTGAGAAACAGTCAAGTGTTAATTCTTCAGAAAAACAATTATTAAAATCAAAGAAAGAGTTTAAATAAAATTCACATTGGCAGATAATCAAGTCAACGGACGATAATGAGAAAACTATATCGATGTTATTTGAAATCTGTTCTACGAATGAAAAATTCCTAATTAATTATTTAAAAATGAGTATTTTATTATTTGCAGAGTCATTTTGGACGTGTACATGAAGCGAAATTTTACTAACATTTGAAGCTCCCATGAACGTGTGTTGAACAAAACAGTTGCTCCAACATACAGTATGCGTATAAGAGAGAAAACTGCTATATCGATCGTTCCCTTTCTTTCTAACCACCATGGAAAATACATTGCCACGATATGATGCTAGATGGCGCAATCGTTAAATCCTTAAGCACTCAGCAGTGGTGGTCTCTCTTCTCTGGCACTCAGCGATTATTCTCTTTCTCTGCTGATGCTCATACTATACATTGGTACAACTGTTTTGTTCGACATAAGTTTGCGTGAGTTTTGTTAATTTTTTTGAGTATAAGAGAGTATTTTTGGAGTATATTTATTAATTTATTGTGATGCTGACATAATTGTTAGTGAAAATTGATAAATAGTTGAATAATAGATATACATTGATTAGTAAATAAACTTTTATAATAGGTAGACAAAATCGTATTTTGTGTACTTTATTTGGTAAGCATTTTCTAACCTCTAAATTTGTTAAATAATTGGATAATTTTCTTAATTATAAAATAATTGTAAATTTTCAGTAAAAAATGGATCGTGAATCAAATTCAAAACTTCGACGGAGTCCATTCCATGAACGTTCGAGGAGGGAGATTGATCGGTATCATCAAGACAAGAAAAATAAACGCAATAGATATGAATCAAGGCATAGAAGCTTGTCTGATAGTGAACATAACGACTATGAAAGACGTAGAAAAGATGATCGAGAAAATAGGAAAAGACGGAGATCAAGAAGCCCTCGTGAAAATAAAGAACAAAAAAATTCTCCAAAGATACAAGAGGAGGAGGATAAAGAGTTGGCCAATATTACACCAGCACAGAAAAACACGGTAGATTTACTTACTTCAAAAACTGGAGGAGCATATATTCCTCCAGCTAAATTGAGAATAATGCAAGCAGAGATAACGGATAAATCATCTGCTGCATATCAACGTATTGCATGGGAGGCTCTCAAGAAATCTATTCACGGTTACATCAATAAAGTTAATACGAGTAATATTGGATTGATTACAAGAGAATTATTACGCGAGAATATTGTAAGAGGACGTGGTTTATTAGCACGATCAATTATTCAAGCTCAAGCTGCTTCGCCAACTTTTACACCAGTTTATGCAGCTTTGACTGCTGTTATTAATTCCAAATTTCCCAATATCGGAGAATTATTATTAAAACGATTAGTTATTCAATTTAAACGAGGCTTTAGGAGAAATGACAAGCCTTTATGTATTTCTTCTGGACTATTCATAGCACATTTAGTTAATCAAAGTGTCGCTCATGAAATTTTAGCTTTAGAATTACTTACTTTACTAATCGAAACTCCAACAGATGATTCAGTAGAAGTAGCTATAGCATTTTTAAAAGAATGTGGTATGAAACTTACCCAAGTTTCAAAAAAAGGAATTGAATCAATTTTTGAAATTTTAAGGAATATCCTTCATGAAGGTCAGTTGGATAAAAGAGTCCAGTATATGATTGAGGTAGTATTTCAAATTCGAAAAGATGGATTCAAGGATCATGTGGCTGTTAGTGAAGAATTAGATTTAGTTGAAGAAGAAGATCAATTTACGCATACAATAGAATTGGCCCAATCTATTGATGGCGAAGATATTTTGAATGTATTTAAATTTGATACAGATTATGTGAAAAATGAGGAAAAATATAAAGAATTGATGAAAGAAATTTTAGATACCGATGAAAGTTCAGGTGATGAAGGAGACGAAGAAAATGAGGATTCTGATGAAAGTGAAGCATCAGAAGAAGAAGACGAAATTAAAAAAGATATAATATTAGACAATACAGAAACTAATTTAACTGCTCTTAGGAGAACAATTTATTTAACGATCCATTCTTCATTAGATTTTGAAGAATGTGCGCATAAACTAATGAAAATGAAATTAAAACCAGGCCAAGAGATCGAACTATGTCATATGTTTTTAGATTGTTGTGCAGAAATGCGGACATATGAAAAATTTTTTGGACTTTTAGCTGGCCGATTTTGTGCGATTAATAAAATTTATGAAACTCCATTCGAAAAAATATTCAAAGATTCTTATGAAACAATTCATCGTTTAGATATGAATAAATTAAGAAATGTTTCTAAATTTTTCGCTCATTTGTTATTCACGGATTCAATATCATGGGATGTATTAAATTGTATCAAGTTAAATGAAGACGATACTACTAGTTCTAGTAGAATTTTTATAAAAATTCTTTTTCAAGAATTGTCAGAATACATGGGTTTATCTAAACTTAATGCCCGTGTAAAAGATGTAACACTTCAAGAAACATTTGAAGGATTATTTCCGAGAGATGATCCCAAGAAAAGTCGATTTGCAATCAATTTTTTTACTTCAATTGGACTTGGTGGTCTAACTGATGACCTTCGAGAACATCTTAAAACACGACCAAAACCAGTACCTGTTCCACCAGTCATTGCCAAGCCTACTACAGATTCATTAAGTTCTTTATCATCATCATCATCGTCGTCATCATCAAGTTCCAGCTCTGAATCGAGTTCCAGTTCGTCTGAGAGTTCAGATCAGAAAAAGAAAAAGAAAAAAGTATCAAAAAAACGTCGTAGAACAAAGAAAAAAGCAAAAAAGAGTTGTAAATAATACTAGCTATAAGAAATACTTTGATGTATATATATGTATATATTAGGTAAAACGATTTGTATGTAAATAAATTTTTCTAAATAAAACTTGATAACAATAAAATTCAAGATTCTCCTTTTTTTTTTCTTTTTAAATGCTCTTTATGAAAATTTATTATTTACTCTAATAAAATGAAAATATGAAAGAAAGTCTCTTTTTTTCTCGAAATTTTTTTTACTTATTTCTACATCATTTGAAGTATACCTTAAATTAAAAACACAAATTATGGAGAGAAATTTTATCGATAATTCTTTTAATTGTTAAAATATAAATATATTTATAATATTATAATGAGATAATTATAATTATCATAATCGCAACGGTCAAAATAATAATCAATTCAATATTAATAATAATATTTTCTCTTACAATCAATATTTAATACAACTAATTATAATGAGTGATAATAAATTTTTAATACCTAGTCTATTTATTTTTTCCTTTATTTTGTTAATTTCATATTGGTAGCAGCGATACATTCATGCACTCAAATATCTCTCAATATTTCTCGATTAAATTCCTTACGTAATTAATTTGAAATGCCAATTATCCTTCATGTCAACATTCAAAATCTAAATACTTATCAGTTATTACCATTTTCTGCATTGATATAAAAAAAGTCAAACGCATACTTCTTTATTATCAATTAAGCTAAAAATTAACTAATTTAATTCTCAAATTATTAATTTATCATCTATTGTTTTTACTCTTCTACTGTTTTGTGTTTTTTATTATTTTATGTACAAATTATTTGCTTGATATTCTTCATTGAATCTGAGATTTTTTTACATTTTTATAATCTTATCTGGTTGTTTTTTATTTATATAATAATGTTAGAAATAGTATCCCAATAATAACTCTTAATTTATTATTATTATTATTATTATTATTATTATAATCATCAGTTTTATTGTTAGTTAATATTCAATTGTAGCTGGAAAAATTATCTGTGGCAATTAAATCAGTCTCATTCGGTTTCAACCCAAAATGATTTGTTTCATTAACTTGTAGAGAGGTTGTACCTCTTGGAGATGTAATAGAGAAAGTTTGTTTAAAGTATGTTTAAAATTGTAATGTTATTCTGTATAATGTTTTGTTTAAATTTATTGGTTCAGTTATCGGAGTCAAAAAATATTCTTAAGGTTACTAAAAATAATGCTCCTAATACTTCAAAAAGAATAAAAATATTTTACAAAAATTGTCTTAAAATTTATTTATTTTTCTTCTTGCGAATATCTTGAAAATTTTAGTTTAAATATATTCTTCATATCTTTTATAATTTCAATGGAAAAGAAATGGTAAATTTATTGATAGAAACTTTTTGTTTTATAGCCTATAATTTCGATTCACATGGTCTCTTAGCCATGTATGATTGATTGATCATATTGCACTCTGATGGTTCGTAAAACTCATATTTTTTTTCTTCAAAAAATCACATTTTATTTCAAATTCTCATTCATTTGCAATTAAAAAAAAAAGGTAAAATTTAAAATAATAATGTAATCATTCCATATATATATCCAGTAATCACGAGTAATGATTAAGTGAGAATATAATTTTCCAAAATAGAGTATTAATCAGTTCAGAAAAGTAACGTCGTTATCAAAATGTTATTAAAATGATGCTTGAGCAAAATCAGTTTTAGATAAAAAATTTGGAAAAAGCTATCATCTTCAACTACGTATTCAATATATCCATGAATCACTGGAGCTTTTAATTCAAGAATCTAAAAACGAGGCTATAGAAATTACTGTCATGAATCATCAAAGCAGTAGAAGCCATGACTTTACTTTTATAAATCCAGCAGAATAAAATCTTGAAGATACTTCAAGTACTTTGAGATATGTTGATTGAGAAAAATAATTAAGAATAAACCAACAAATAATCAAAATCCAAAAACAATTGAAATGCATCATTTAAATAAAAGCATTAATATCATTAGGGAATGGAATAGCTTGTTCTTGTTTTCCTAAACGTACTGAGAAGCAAACAATTTCTTAAGGAAAAAATGGGTTTAACCAGCCCAAATACTTCATAAAAATCATAATGATATTTTTTCAATGAATGATGAAAGGACAAAGTATGTTGAAAATTTTAGAAAATGAATTTGTAATGGACTACAAAAAAATTTAGAACAATTGTTACAAAAACAAATTCTGCATGGAAAGAACATCTGAGAAACAGTCAAGTGTTAATTCTTCAGAAAAACAATTATTAAAATCAAAGAAAGAGTTTAAATAAAATTCACATTGGCAGATAATCAATTCAACGGACGATAATGAGAAAACTATATCGATGTTATTTGAAATCTGTTCTACGAATGAAAAAATAAACTTTAAAATCACAATGGCTACACGGCGATAAAAATGGAAACTTAAGATTATGGAACAGAAGTCATTGAAAATAAATTTACCATATATTTTACAGATACACTTTGAGAATGCACTTTGTTTTTATTATCACTGATTGTATTCAGCAATCCCAAGAATATATTCTGACATTTTAAATCATGTTAAAAAATCTTGATTCTTCGACTTAAATAACTGAATTCATCTATTTGAACAAAATCACGGAAAATATTAACTAAAATTTCTCTATAACATGTCTGGAGGTTCACATCCTCGTGATTTCTCTTTTTTCCTATACTTTTTTGTATATTATTAACTCCTATAAAATGATGAAAAATGATCGCAGTGTTTTGTAGCAAATTGTTGACCATTAAATACTCAGTAATCATAATCGTTTTTTCAACATGAATCATTTCACCTTATATCGAATTATTTCGTTTTTTTCCTCTTAGTATTTATCGTTTGTTATCTGATTACAATTATAACTTAAATATCAACGTTTATCACATGTTTCTAACTCGTTAACACGTGTCAGTGAGTAATAGACACCGAAATTGATGACGTAGCAGCTGAATGACTATCTTGATAAGAGAATTGTGGAAAATGCTCTTGTTCTTCAGCTATTGAATTTAATCCACTTGCACTACCTAAACATCCTTGATCAGGTGGCGTCAATTCTACACTTTCTCCAGTAAATTCACTGTCAAAATACCGTGTGTCTGTGTCTGACGTCACTTGAGGCTTGAATGGTGGTGATATTCTCTTTGCAACCAAATCAGCCCAGTCAATTGATGAGAAAAACGCGTGGTTCATTATATCTTTACCGTCATTTGGACCTCCACCTAATCTTTTATTAGGATCTTTTTTCAATAAGCCTGAAAAAATAACATTAAATTCAGTCAGATTAAAATAAATCAAATGTTGGAATTGTAGTGAATTGACCCCAATGTAAGTAAATAAGCCAACTTGATTTCAACAATTAAAAGATCTTTTTTATTAAATTAAGATATTTAAATTATTCAAATAATTGAAAATTTAGCAAATAACTTATAAACACGAAGCTAGTTAAATATATCACTTCTCTAATAGATTAATAGTAGTATAAATAGATAAATAATTGTCTGAAAAATGAATTAAAAGACAATTTGTATATAAATCAAAACAAATGTTAGATTGAATAGAATGTTTTTTTTTTCAATTACTGAGATTTTTTGATTATTTTAACTGTCTATTCTCTTTAGATTCAATATTCATTGATAAGTTTAAAAAGACAAGAAAAATTTATTGTAAACATTAAACGAAAAGTACGAAATTCTATTACGTTACTCAATGATCCTTTGTTATTTTTAATTCTTAAAGAATAAATTTAAAAAATAAAATGATTGAAATATTTATTATAATAAAAGAATTTAATGATGAATATCAATTAAAATAATTTACCTCCAAGTAAATCTCTAGCTTCATTAGATATCGCTCTCGGGAATTTGACTTCTTCGAGCAAAATTAAAGTAAATAATTTCTCATGATCATGATTATAAAATGGAAGACGACCACAGATCATTTCATACATCACAACACCAACACCCCACCAATCAACAGCACGTCCATAATCATTATCCTCTAAAACTTCTGGAGCTAAATATTCTGGTGTACCACAGAATGTTTTTGTTGTTCGTCCTGAATTTTTAAAAATTAATTAATTAAATAATCAATCAATTGAGAACAAATTATCTTTTCTAATGAAAAGTAAAAAATATTGAAAAATCAATTAAATGTATTGGAAAGAAATTAAATACTTGATCAGTTTAAAAAAAAAATTAATATCGAGATTAAATCCAATAGCTAATTAGAATTATTACTAATAATTTATATGATTTGAGAAACAATTTTGATCCTAATAAACACATATTGCAAGATCTATTCTATCTTAATAATGTTTGATTATGAAGCCTAAATATTAAATTTTTTTACTTTACTAGTAACTAATTATTTAGAATATTTAGGATAGATAGAGTCAAAAAATAAATAAAATAAGAAACAACTCACCATAAGTTATGTCTTCTTTACATAGCCCAAAATCAGCGATTTTAATATGACCATCTTTGTCCAGCAAAAGATTTTCCAATTTTAAATCTCTGTAAATAATTCCTTGAGAATGTAAATAATTCAAAGCAGATATTATTTCAGCACCGTAAAACCTCGTACGGTCTTCCCCGAAAATTCTTGCTTTTCTCAAATGATAAAATAACTCGCCACCATTTACATACTCCATAACAAAACACAATCGATCAGCTGTCTGAAAGCTATACTTTAGAGATATTAAAAACGGATGATTTGTAGTCCGAAGTACTCGATTTTCTGTCAAAGTGTGTGCAACTTCATCCTTTCGAATAATCACTTCTTTTCTTAATATTTTGATAGCGTACAAATGTCCAGTTGCTTTTTCCCGACACAAAATGACTTTGCCAAAGGTCCCTTTGCCTAAGACTTTCAAAAACTCGAAATTTTCCAACGTGACTTTTTTCTTGCCACTACTCTTGCTGCTAGAAGTACCTTGAACACTGAACTTGGCTGATAATTCATCAATACTAGGTAATGAATCAATACCCAGCGATGCATTTGAATTACATCTGCTACCATTTGATGAATTCTCCATGTCTACATCTTCAGATGAGTTTACTGTTGATGTTATTGTTTGAGATGTAGATGGTTGGATTTGCTGTTGAGCTTGCTCTTCAGCTGCTAATCTATTAGCTACATATCTGAACAAAAAAAATGGTTCATTCATTAAAATACATTTATTTACTTTATATTTCACTTTGAATTTTTCCCCATTTTATCTAATTTTTATTAAAAAAAAAAGGTTATCTTAACCTTACTTTATGATATACTTCATGTTGCATTTTATTAAAATTTTTTTTAAGTTTAATCGAATTTTTTGTTTGAAAAACTACTAATTATTGTTAAATCCAAGTTGACTTTATTTAAAAAAAAAGTTGTATAGATTAAATGAATCTTAATAGCCTCGATGGTATCTAGGAATAAATTATCAAATTCTATGATAATTAATTTGTCATCTTCAATTAGATCTGCATGAATTTTATCAAATTTGATATTTTAACTAAAAATACAATGTTATTACATTCAAATAGATTGGATCAATTCTAAGAAAACTAAAGTGGATTTGACCAGATTATACTGAATTTAATGTTGATTTGAAAATCACTATCTAATTTTGACAGATATGATAATTGACTTCTAACTTTTAAGTAATATTTAATTAATAACTTCAAATTTTCAGCTATATTGATTGTTTTTTTTCAATTTATAAACCAACATAATTTCATAATTTTTCTGAATAAAAAAATATTATTTAAAAAAAATTACAAATAAATACTTATGTCCAAGTGTTTTGAAAGTATTTTGTGAATGGTTCTACAATTATTCCGTAACAAAAAGGATGACTTGATGAATGAATTTTGATGGTATATACCTGATAGCAGCTACCCAATCTTCTCTCTCTTGCTCAGTCTCAACATGAAAAGTTCTCTCAATCACTGTAGTCCATTGCAGGCCTCTTATAACAAATGTATAAGGCTTTGGACGGTCAATGGACATAATTTGACATCCTCGTACGGTAAAATTATTTAATGGCTGTGCAGTTGCTGCCATTTGTTGGTCTGGTTTGGATTTAAAACCAACAAGTGCTCCGTCATCTCTCAATACAAAGTAACGTGATCTCCAGTTTTTGATGTGCTCACCTACAAAAGCCATCAAAATATTTCATTAATAATCATGTTTAATAATAAAAATAAATAAAAATGTTAGAAAACAATCATAATTGACTGTTAATGATTAATAAATAAATAACAAACAATGTTTATTTTGAAAGTAAACGAAACTGTACCTCGTTTTTGTAACCATCCTTCCTTCACAACTTGCTGACCAGACGCTTCGACGCTCATCGTTGCGTCGTCAATGAAATGCCTTATTAATATTGAAATACGTAATTGTAATGATTAATTTTTATTAAAAAAACCTAAAACACTCAATAATATTCACTTTTTAATCTTTAATGTCAATGAATTATTTATTATTTTCCACCCTTTCTTAAACTTAATCCCATCAGTTTTTGTTTTTAAACTTTCCTATTTGTTTATCTTCTCGTTTTATCACCTTTCAATTTCACTTCTTATTTCACTTATTTCTTCCTCAACTTTTTTACTTTTCACGTAATATTTCAATAATATAACTGTATTGTTATTATTGATACTATTATTGTTGTTTTATTATAATTGTTTACTCATTAAACTGTTTTTTTCTTCCTCTGTTGAATAAATATGCTTTCAAGCACGCAAACCAATTTGACTATTGACTATTATAGACACTAGCGCTATTAACACTTCACAGCTGTTATCCAAATTAACAAGAGCGCGAAATTTAAAAAGTTCAATTCATCTAAACACTGTGACCCGTTTTCTTTATGAATTGAAGACGGTGCAGAGGAGTTTAGAAGAAGGATTAACTATCAAAAGAAAGCAAACTGATTGATACATTTATAAGTGTTACATATATATGCATGCACAGATATATTTGTATAAATATATGTATATATAATATATTAGTATATATGTATATATTGTCGCATGTGTGTGTGTTGTAAATAGGATTTTTTATAACTAGTAATATATACACAATTGAATAGTGGCACACAATTAACACATATAATAGTAATGACGTTGGTATTAATTGATGAATCTCTTACACGTTGTTTCCATTATTGCTATTGTATTTTTGTCCTGAAAAATTTACACATATACGTATATATTTGCATATACGCATGTAATAGATGTATGTAAAATATGTATGTATTTGTAATTACTATGTATATATATATATATGTATACATATGTTAATAGTCACATAAACTCATAAGAAAATCACTTGTATTATTTGGTTGTTTTTTTTAATTGAGTATAAATGTTTTTATGATTTTTTTTAACACCGTAAACTTGTTTAAAACACTTCCGAATATTAAATTTTATTTTTTTTTACGTAAATCGTCACATACATATACGTCAGAAGCTTCCAACTACGTCTTGAAACTTCAAACACGATAATTAAGGCTGGGCTGAAGTCAGAAAGTTTCCCGGAGTTGACTTTACGCCCTCGCGTTGTGCGGCAAAAGGCCGAAGCTTGACATCAACTGAAATTGAGTAGGTAACAGGGAAATCGTTCGAAAAATGATAATTTTCAGGGATGCACTACAAAAAGGGAGCCTTAGGGCACCAAGAAATTTACAAATTTTTGAATAATCTGTTCCGAGCAAGACAGAGCACAGAATATATCTATCTATCTCCGTCTTATTTTTCAGAGAAGACTGCGAGTTCGAACAGTTGACGAGCAAGCACATCCCCCACCCTCTGTTACCAAGCCTGAAGCTTATGATATCTAAACGTAAACAAAGCAAATGAAAATATGTTGGCCCTGTAGTCAGAAGATTCGACATTTATTTTACCGAACGGTGTTCGATTCCAATTGCGGAAAATTTTTTTTTTTTAATTCAAATTGCATGTAATTGCAATTTTATCATGCCGAAAATGAGTTTTAAATTTCAATTTTTATGTAAAATTATTTTTCAATCAATCGATGACAAATGAGACAATATTTGAACAGGGTCATTAACCTTTTTTTGTACAAATACATTGATAATAGCCTTTTTTAACAACTTATTAACAATAAAAAATAGTTTAAACAATCCGCGGCAAGTTCCGACACTTCACCGGCAAGCTCTACCCCTACTCTCTGTGCCCAAGCCTGCAGCTTATAATTTTCAAGCATCTTCACTATTATTGAAACCATAATAGCTCAGTGGTTAGAGCACCAATCTTTTATTTTGCTGGGCAGGGTTCGATCCCAGTCATAGGCAATTGTTTTTTCTTTTTTTTGCTTAAGTGACTTTAAATACTCATAAATTAATTCATATATTTGATTAAATTATTCTTCCAATTAATTACGGAAAACAACTTGTTTTTCTGAAAATAAGCTGAGGGTGAGGAACGAGTTACTATGAATTCTCTTTTTTCGAAAGTGTTGTCTTTAAAAGACAATAGGAATTGATTTTGAACTTATATAAACAACCAATTATTGTATTTATATAAAATTTTAATGAAAAAAAAAGGAAAAAAAAAATTGGCTATGACTGGGATCGAACCCTAATCGGTAAAATGAAAGCTTGGTGTTCTACTCACAGAGCTAACACATCATCTCTGACATTATGTTTATGTTTATAAATTGTATAATGCAGGCTTGAGTACGAAGGGTAGGGATAGAGTTTGCCGGCAAAGTGCCGGAAATCCCCGTGGATTATTTCAACTACTTCTAAATATTTCTAAATTGCTTAAAAAAAAGCTACGTTCATATAGCTATAGTAAAAAAAGTGTTTATAACCCTGTTCATATGTTTTCCGACTCGGCGTCGATAAATTACATAAATAATTGAGAAAAAAAAATCAAATCGTTGTAAACAATTACTTTTGGCATGTTAATATTATAATTACATGCAAATCTAACAAATAAAAGAGAAAAAAAAACTTTATCATGACTGGAATCGAACCCTGCCTAGCAAAATAAAAGACCGATGCTGTAACCACTGAGCTGTTATGGTTTCAATACGCTTAAAAATTATAAGCTGCAGGCTTGGGCACAGAGAGTGGGGGTAGAACTTGCCGGGAAAGTGCCGAAACTCGCCACAGATTGTTTAAACTACTTTTCAATGTTAATAATAATATGATTAACTTGTTAATAACATAACATTGTTAATACATGTAAAGATGTATAAGTTGTTAAACACAGGCTATTATCAATGTATTTATACAAAAAGAAAGTTTATGGCTCTGTTCAAATATTTTTCGACTTAGCGTCAATAAATTCAATGAATAAAGAGAAAAAAAAATCAAATTGTTATAAAAGATTAATTATAGCATGTCAATATTATAATTACATGCTAATCTAACGAATAAAGTAGAAAAAAAAAATTGGTTATGACTGGGATCGAACCCTGCCCGGCAAAATAGAACTCTGACGCCCTAACCACATGGCCAGCATAATCTCGATATCGAGTTAATGTATATTTGTTTTTACACTACATGCTTGGATACGCCGACTTGGAATTGAGCTTCCTTATTAACATTTATACCTAATAAAAATGATAATAATGGATGAATATATGTATTTGAAGTTATTTGCAGGTATTATATTAATTAATGTTAAATGAGTATCATCATTTTTTTTTATCCTAACTGCAATAGTCATCAAAGTGTAGGGCATTGTAAAGTGATACAATATGTTTACATCACATACATATATTACCCGTACACACACATACAGAATTTACTCGCCAAAATGCAGGGCACCATCAGTTCTGGATACGGATTGAGCATTTTTTCAATATGGATGACTGAGGTCATCTGCGAGCATAATGCTGTCACCTATCAGAATTTTTTCAAACTAATTTTCCGGAGAATGTCATCTGGAATACAAGATTTCTAATTATTTCTAAATTATTCAATTTTATACTATGAATTGATTTTTTTAACATTCAGACAGGTGGCAAGGACTGACGCAAACACGAATTTTGGGCGAAAAACGTATAAAAATGAAATAATTAGTGATTTTTCATCTGAATGATGTGGCCGCCATCTTGAAATTTAAGCGCGGTAAGTCAATTCATAATTTTTTCATTATTCTTTCTAATTTTTTTAATAAAAATATTCACTATATACAAAAAAATGTTGTTTACGTCAGTCCGGCATTAATTCCTCTGTAATTTGGTACCTAATTTTATAGAAATAATTGTAAATTGGCGAAGAAATTAGAAATTTCCCGATCCCATGTATTTGGATAGGGGGAATCAGTCGCCTTTCTGACTTCAGCCCAGCCTTAACATGAATGGATACTTCAGTGTATATTTTGTTGTTACTCAGCTAATAAAATACATTGCTCTGGGGATAATGTTTTATGGTTACCAACAAAAACAACTACTTATGAAAATTTTTATTAAAGTTTTATTTTAACTTGACTTTTTTCAGTTTTATTTTATAATACCTCGTTTTGTTGATTTATTTTAACATATTTTAATGATAAATTTATAATTAAATGGTTTTGATTTATTAATTTTTTCAACCCAGTACCTCTAGTGTTTCGATCAAGAACTCGATTCATTCAAAATAGAGTCCCTTAAGATAGAGTCTGGCAAAATAGGGTCAGGCAAGACTAAAGTTCATTAAGTTCTCATGGGACTTTAGGCAGGAATTGAGCAATATGGCGTCGTCTTGCCAGACTTTATCTTAAGGGACTCTAATTCAAAAAATTTCCCAACCCCACCTATGTATCATGTGTTTTTTTTCATCCAATATGGCGGCGTCCATATTATGTTGTTTGAGTAATATTTGTGCAACGATTGTGAGTGAAATATAAATAAAAATACCCGTTGTATATAAATAATCAAATTTAATGATTTATCTAAAAATTACAGTTGATAATAGTTTTATTAATTCTCGAAGAAAATGAGAATATATTTGACATTATTTCTCGCGATAATTTACTTAACCGAAATATGGTCACTGAAGGTAAAACAATTCATCTTTAAATCTTCAAAATAAGTAATTACAACAATTGTCAATCTAATGACAACTTTTTTTCAGACTAAAAATAATAATAAAACAGGACACTCAAACAATTGGGCTGTTTTGGTGGATACTTCAAGGTTTTGGTTCAACTACCGACATGTAGCCAATGTCCTGTCAATATACAGAAGTGTTAAACGTCTTGGAATTCCCGATGCTCAAATAATATTAATGATTGCTGATGACATGGCATGTAATCCTCGCAATCCTAGACCAGCGACAGTTTTCAACAACATCAAACAACACATCAATGTCTATGGTGATGATGTGGAAGTTGATTACCGTGGCTATGAAGTAACAGTGGAGAATTTCGTACGATTATTAACTGGAAGATTAGCCCCGGAGACTCCGAGATCTAAGAAACTGTTGACTGATGAAGGTTCTAATATTTTAATTTATCTCACTGGTCACGGAGGTAACGGATTCTTAAAGTTTCAAGATTCTGAAGAGATAACTAGTCAAGACTTGAGTGATGCTGTGGAACAAATGTGGCAGAAAAGACGCTACCATGAGATATTATTTATTGTTGATACTTGTCAAGCTAGTTCTATGTATGAAAAACTGTACAGTCCAAATATTTTAGCTGTAGCATCTAGTAAAGTTGGAGAAGATTCACTTTCTGTAAGTAATCATTTATCTTAATGCCTTAATAACCGATTTAATCAGTCGAATAATTTGTCTCTAGCATCATGTTGATCCTGACATTGGAGTTTATATCATTGATCGTTACACGTACTATGCATTGGATTTTTTGGAGAAAGTTGAACCTTCCAGTTCCAAAAAACTTAGCGAATTTGTAAGTTACTATCAGTTTTTTATTTAAACAAAATATAATTTCTCTATAGCAACAATTGTTATAGAGAAGCTGGATTGCAAGTATTAATTACTAATTAAATTTATTGATAATTAATCATTTTTTGCCATACCATTCAGAAGAAATCATTATTCCGTCTAATATTCAGTGGACCTTTTATCGAATCATACCGAAAAATAGTAATTAAATTTGAAAAAAATAATTACACAATATTGAATATCACGTTTATCAATTTCATTAGTCCATTTTTCTTTCCTAGTCTCTATACTTTTCACTTTAAAGTAGAATAAACAAAAGAAACTTAGAATTGTTAGTGTATTGGAGAATATTTAATGATACATTAATAATTAATAATATTTTTTTTACAGTTAAAAGTTTGTCCAAAACACTATTGTCTTTCTACTGTTGGTGTACGGAAAGATTTATTCACACGCAATCCAGAAACAGTTCCAGTGACTGATTTCTTTGGCTCACTGAGACCAGTTGAGCTAACAACCAGTATTATAAACATCTTGCCGGTTGAGAAAGAGCCTATGAAAGAGTCAAACTTAGATGTTAAGTATAAATATGTTAGTCAATTTCCTACGTTATCTGTTTAACATCATTCCAACGAAATTTTGTTCATACGAAAGTAATTCAAATTATAAAGAGCTTTTTTTTAATATTCATAAGATTTTATTTATTATTTTAATACAATAATCAGATTATGTCTAAAGTGACATCTATAATTAAAAGAAATCTAATTTTTTTTATTTACTGTTGTAATTAAGATCTATTTAGTTTCCCAATCACAAATACCTAAGGTTGGATTATAACATAAACTTTCACCACATTGGCGATCATATTCTAAGTATCCTCCATTTCCATCAGGTACGCACATGACAAAGTCGCAAGAGTCGGGTTTAGCAACGTTTCCAGATTTGGTACAGAGTCCATCTGATGGATGGGGTGGGCTTGATGGTTGTTCATCATAAGATGGTTCAACACTTGAATCAACAGTCACAGAGTCATCAGCTGATGGCTCTGGTGCTGATGAAACTACAACAGTTTCTTCAGATACAGGTTGTCCACCACGAAGAACAGCATGAAGTGTTCTTAAGACTGGGAATTTTTCACCGCAGACACCACGGAAGTCGTCTGTTTCAACACTCCATAACATAACACCGGCGAGGTCTAAACGTTTGATCAATTCAGCCTTTTCACGAAGAGATCTGTAGAATAAAATAGTTAGTTTTTGATTAACATTACGAATTAATATTAAAAAATGAATTGAGTGCTGAAGAGTCATAATTGAGCACAAGTTTATTGTTGAAGATTAAGATTTTGAAATTAACTTACTTAACGTTATCATATCCAATCCATTGATCATTTTTGTGAGTGTAAGGAACTCGTCTTTCTTCATCAAAGTAAACATTCCAGCCACCTTTCAAGTGCATTTCACAGATCTCATTGTAACCTAACATACCGGGTTCTCTAGTGTAAGGACCAGCTTTTCCTGGACCACGAGTTGGAGCACCGATGTAATTTTTCTTGGAGTCAGCAAGAGTGAAAGCACGACCGTAAGATGGAACTCCAACGACCAATTTCTCTTTTGGAGCGCCTTGGCTTAACCAGTAGTTCACTGAAGCTTCCTATAATTTTTTTAATTGATCATTAAACTAGAATCATTTTAGATGAGTCTGACACATTGAAGCCATATTTAGGTACTAGGTTTTGTTGAAAAGAACTTAAATTTAGATATTATACTTACAACATTGTATCCACGAACATCACCAGATTCACTTTTGGCAACCTTCAATGGAGCATTAATGCCAGTTTGGGATTCCCAAGCTCCGTGAAAGTCATAAGCCATGAGATTAATGAGATCTAAGTATTTGCTCATTTCAGAAATTTTGTAGGATTTTGATGCTGAGGATTCAGCAGCAGCAACAGCAGCAGTTAATAGATATCCTTTGGGTTCAAGCTTAGCCTTCAACACCTTAAGAAGTTCAATGTAGTTATCAACATCCTCAGCGGCACCATTACGTTGGTTGGGATATTCCCAGTCAAGATCAAATCCATCGAATCCCCATTTAGCCACAAAGTCAACGACGTTTTGTGCAAATTGCTCACGACTCTCAGCAGTCTTTGCCATGTTGGAATATTTAGTTGATCCTTCATTCCATCCTCCAATGGCAACAAGAGTCTTAAGGTTGGGATTTTTCGAACGCAAAGCATTGAATCTTCCGAAACCATCTTTTCCCCAGTTGTCAGGTAAATCTTGCCATGGGTCTAAAACTTTGACGCTGGTGCCTTGAAGTCCTACGAAGGTGTAGATTAAATGGGTACATAGTTGAGGGTCAATATAGTCAATGTTGAATTTTCCTCTTCCTGGCCGGTAAACTGCCCAACTTCCAAAGTAACAGACGACTTTTTCTGTTGACATTAATTAATAACATTCTAATTGTCTTTATTAATGATAATCATTTTTTTAATCCAATAACCAATTCAAATTCAATCTTTATTTTGATTTTGATAAATTTTTTTCTTAATAAATAACATAAAAATTATACATTAAGTTTTTAGAGCCCATTAGATCTACAAATATGTTAAGATTTAAAGAGATTAATGAATAATTTAAATAAAAAATCTAAATGTAACATGTTCAGACTCACTATCATCAGTAGCAGAAGCTAATGCACCACCTGCTACAAAAATAGCAGCCAACAAAGTAAGTGAACGCATCTGAAAGACAATAAAATAAATTATAAGAATGTTTAAAAATTAATCTACAATGTTGAATGTTTTAAAACAAAAGACTAGATTAATATAAATTATTCTACCTTAAGTTTACAACTTTACAATTCAAGACAACTAAATGACCTGAGTATGATAAATTTCCTGATCGTTTTTATATCATTGACTTTATCAGATAACCAACTATTCACATAAGTGAATATCTAATCAATAAAAATCGCATCAATGATTTGGAAACAAAATTTACGCTACAAATATTGAATTATTATATGCTTAAATATCATTAATTCACTCATTTAATTGAATATTAATTCAATAAATATTAGATTATTCAATAATTCAATGTGAAAATGTTATCTATGACATCATTATTCATTGAGTTATATTTAGAATAAATAAAATATTAAGAAATATTTCTTTAAATATTTTTTTGCGACTTATTCAATAGTGCTAACAGTGATCTATCATTTTTTTATGGTAACTATAGATTGATTATTAAATTATTAATTTAAATCATTTAATATGATCATCAAAAATATATTCAAACAAAAAATTGATACATAAATAAAATACCTTATTAACAATTAGGAAGATTTTCGATATAAATAATAGATTGTTTTAATAGCACGAAAATATAAATTACTTTAGTCAAAAGGACAAAGGAATACTGTCGGAATAGACAGGTGAATAATGACATTTTTATAGAATTCAAACAATCCATTATCAATGCGATAATCCAGCTAAGTTTGATAAAGTTAATAAGAGTAATAACAGAAATTAATTAGCTATAATTACAACCAATTATCATTGATCCTTTTGCTAAGCTTTTATATTTTTTCTTGATTAAAAGTAAAACGTTTCCGCAAATGTTGATATTTTAATTAGAATTAACGATTTTTAAGTTTTAGCATCAATATTATCTAGTGGATGATCCGACCTTGTTATCTTTGCGGATTATTACTCATTTATTTCATTAGCATGTGTTTATATGTTTGCTGTTGTGTCATTAATTAGTCACCTACTTGTTTGATGAAAGACAAGATAATATTTTTCCATTTCATTATTTTTAAAAACACCTTTCATGAGTTGAAAATGGTAATATTTTGAGGTAGTTGAGTAAGTAAATTTGTCATGAGAATTGTACCTTGACAATTTTTGGGAAATTTTTTAAAGGTTTTAAAATCAACATCTTGATCATTCGTTTTGGTAAGATGCGAAATTGGGAGTTTTCAGTATGACTGGAAATTTCAAAAAATATTTTTATTAAAAATGATAAGTGATAGTAAAAGTAGTACTTTAAACTCAGAGAACTAGTGAAATTATTAATAAACTGTCTTGAATTAGTGAAGATTTTTTAACATTTTATTATCTGTATCATTTTTAAATTAAAGAAGATAGAAGAAAAAAATTCCAAGATCTTTTTATGTGTAATGAAAAGGGTATAAAAATAAACCTTTTTATGTGTATAATTAAAAGGTTTTAAAATTTAATTTATAACTATATAAGAGAACCTAAAAACCTTCGAACTTTTTTGTGTAAAATTAAAAGATCTTCAATTTTCGTTAAAAACTTTTAAATATTTTCTGAAAATTTTAACCATGCTGAAATATCTTAATTTTTTTTCTTATTATGAGTTTTGTTTTTGTAAATAAATAAAATATTTTGAGAACCAAACATATCTGGTTATTATTCAACAATTACATTTATATTAATAAAAATTACATTATCATAATTAATTTGTACAGATTTTGTGAAGAATTTATTTAGTGGTCTTGTGCCATGACCTTAAAGAATTAAGTCGATTGACATCACCAATTTTCATAGCTCTCAGTCTTCTCCAGTACTGTTTGGTGTTGGGATCCATTTCTTCGAGAGGTGGTGGAGGCCCTAGTCTGATGGTCCACAACCAGTCTGGATATTCAGAATCAGGTTTGATTTCAACATCTTGACCACCTTCTTTCAGGATATTAGAACCACAGACAAATGATATCAATTTCTTGGGATCTTTTTCTACAGGAAATATTATTTTTCTTGGACCTTCTGGTCCTCCTTTCTTCTTTTTGATCTTCCCCATGCCCATCGGTACATCTGAAAATTTTATTTAAATTATTTAGTGGCCAAGGAAGGAAACATTCAGTAAAAAAGATTTTTCAATCGTTCATTTCATTTTTATCATGGTGAATATTTATTTTGTGAGATCATGATGGGTTGGTAAATAAACGTAAAATGAGCACTGATGTACGAAAAGTAACTATAGAACTATAATATTCAAAGGTTTTGGAAAAAACACTAATTATTTACTTCTTTATTTATCTTTAAATTCAACACATTAATTCATGCATAGAGTGATAAAAAACTCATTGTTTCACAGATTCTTTGCTTCATTTTTCAGCTTTATCAGAATTTATACTCCATTTCCAATGCTTATTTTATGTTCATAGTTGTTTCATGATGTGAACCTAAATAACAAATATTCATAGAGCTTCATCAGAACATTTTAAACAATAAGAGTAAATTAAGAAATTGCGAGTTTATGATGTCTAATATCTATAATCTTTAATATTATATTATCAGTGGAAACTTTAGTGAATAATGTTTGTTTAACATCAATCTTAATTGTTGAAATTTTTATTCAACAAAGATTATTAATTAAAATATTTTTATATTCATTCATGAGTAAATAATTATATTCGCCATTATTCTACTTATTCTGATTTTTTCCTTTGTTTGAACATTGCGTGAATGTTTGGTTATGATAACTGTTTGCTTGACCGAAAAAAATTCAATAACAATGGTATTAAATAAATACGAGACAATACATAATGTGAAATAAATTGTTAAATAAAACGTATTGTAAATTGAATCAGCTTTTATGGTAATTTTTATAAATTAAAAAAAAAAAAATAATAAAGTAGTTGGAGATCTAACCTTTAACAAGTAAAAAGTTCAACGTAGAATTGTATGAAAAATAAATATATAACTGATGTTAATAACCCACCTTTTGCATAATTTCTTACTGAAGTAGTATATGTTATTTTAGACACTAACTTTAATAAACTTGAAGGAGAAAATAATAAATTTATTGTTTGTAATCCAGACATGTTTAGGACTTAGGTTGTTAACTTTACAGGCAGCATATTTATCGGCATATACACAGATACTCTGATAGTCAAGTGCAGCGCTTACAGACAGACCTTTTACACGTGTTAGTCGAACTTTTGTATGGGCAATTGTACACCTGTTAGCCGAAACTTCGTTCGAATTTTTAACCCAGGATTGGACTTCAATACCAGTCTCTCTTCTCTGGTGGCAGTAGACATCAGTATGAGTTTGTGATCACATGGCAAAATGTGCTTTTTTGTTTATAAAAATTTGAAAATTTTTCGCATGTTGTAAATTAGATATCTCTACACTGAGAAAAAAATTTACTTCATACAAAAAATATTTCATTCGATCATTAACATCGAAATTTCAAATAGTCGCAATAAAATATTTCTTCGAAATTATGAATATTTCATTGAAATCATTTTACTTACTCAAATGAATAAAATGTTCTTTGTTTTCATTCTTGTCGTAACCTTGAAAATTTGTTTTGAAACTTGTCGCAACATTGAAACAAAAGACAAAATGTGTTTTTGATAACACTACTATTAGTCTGAATAAAATATTATCTTGAGAATATTCGAAGTTTCTTTTATTGATTGGATAACAAATTCTTTCATTTAACGAAATTTTTTTCTCAGTGTAAAACAACGCATCAGAAATCGAGACATGATGCGTATAATAGTTCGAGAATTTTGCAAAGAATTAAATGGGACCAGTTTTAGATCTCTAGCACTTATAGTTCGCAAATCTTTTATTTTTTATAAAAAAAAGTATCTACTTTGTTCTGTGTACATCTGTTTTGATCACTTTAGATCTTCTGAGATCTATGTAGATGTATTAAATTTTTTTCTATCATCGAGATCAATGGAGAACTCCATAGACATACAGTAATTTTTGTAGATATCCTGCTTAAACAATCCCATTGGGAGAAGGAAATTCAATAGGAAAATTGCATCAGAAATTTCCTAATGAATCCTATTGAACGTTTTTGATGAAAGCACAGAATTATGGATCACTCCGTTTCACTTCCACTTGCAGTCAAATGGTAAATTAATTTCTCGCGAGGTTGGAGAACGTTTAATAATCTTTAAAAATTAACTAGAAATACACTGTCTCAAGTCGACAACAAAAAAAATTATTGAATTTTTATTTTTTTTCATTTCGAAAATTTAATAATAAAATTGACCAATCAGCGCACGAATAAAATAGTTACGCTTTTCTGATTGGTCGATTCAATTTTGTGTTCTTTAATGATTGTTTTTTGGTATTTGTTACGGCAATTAAAAAATTTTTTTTTGTTATTGTCATTGTTGAATTGTAATCTCCGTGATTTAATAAAAAAAATATTATAAATATTTAATTATATTCACACGAACGGTTTTGTGTAATTGTATCTCTTTGCTTGACAGTAAGTCATGAGTTTCAATAGATAGGATAACTCAATCAATTCTTGCTTCGAAGCAATGATTTTTTGTTAATATATTGATGAAGTATTACTTAACGAATGTGACTACTTTTCGTTGTCTAAAAAAATTAAAAATTTATAATTTTTTTGTTGTGAAAAATTGATTTTGCACATACATACTAAAAGAGAGAAAAATTAAAAAAAAATTGTTTTTCACACATTTTTTCGCAAGTCTATCAAAAATCTTGCTTTTCGATCATCAACAGAACGACAGACTCTGCGATAATGTATAGACACTGGTTTCCCAAATTTGAATGTCCCAAAACCATTACGACTCTTCAGGGTTTCCAGTCTAAGAGTGCTCGATATGCACCTTTGCTCCGGTTGGTAGGTGGTAAAAGAATATGTATAACGGCATATCATCTTGCAGCAAATGGATTATTATTGAATATCGACACTTAATGGCCTAACCCCCACTGCAAGGGATTCCAATAGGTTCTTACTAATAGACCTGCAACAGCCCCGTACAACCGTCCTGTTCGGATAAGGGCGATAAAGCAGCTGAGAGGGGCCTAACGACGCGTTCCATTTTGGATACTGACCGTAGACCATCTCTATTATGCCTTAGGTGGACAGCGGAGCTAAGGACGGATTTGATGGAGTGTTGTGAATGATGCGAGGCACGAGCCTCAGACTTTGCTATGCGTTTACATACTCTGTGGTGCGAAATGCACCCGGAGTTACGACAACTAACGCAGGCAGCGCTCGCATCACAGGCATGGTACACTCAGTCCCGACAGTGGATAAAAGGTTCTAACTCATCAATATCAGACGCTTCGGAGACTGAGGACGAAATCCCACTAATAAAGTCGAACTGAAGAGAGAATCGTCTTGAGACCACTCTAAGGCTGACAGTAAAGAGGGTTTTCTAGTAGGCTATCTATGAGAATGAGAGTAGGGGTCGCCAGCCTAAGAGTGGTCTCAAGACGATTCTCTCGTCAGTTTGAATATACCTGAGACAGCCGCATCACGGTAGAGCATCCTCTCATTTCACCTTTCTCTCACAGCAAAGCCTCTATTTCCTCCCCCTCATGGCGCTAATTAACAGAACTTCACCAACAGTGAGGATGAATTTCCCCGGATTGTTTAAACAGGAAAGGGTCATTGCTTCGAATTTTAATGATTATCTGGATTTAACGGGTAATAGTAATTTTCATGCATTTATTGGATGTTGTTTCAAAAATCATAATTTGTTCAGATCCATTTTTCCAATAATACTAGGGACGGATTCATCGATAGCGTGTGTTTTTGGACGGACACTCTTGATTCGCCACCTGCTGGGGAATGGTCACAACCCGAACCAGACGGATATGTACGACTGAACACCACTTCACTTAGTATCTATGCTCCAGCCAGAAAATTTTTGATCAGCGATTGCCGCATTGATACAGTGGGAAGGCAGACACCACAATAATAGATGTTCTCGGATGGACTGCAAACGATTACGCGTAAGAAATCCACAACAAATTGGTATGTGACCTCCTCTGCTGCTCAGAGGCTTATTATTGACATAATTGCATAATTTCTCAGGTTGTAGTCAAATTGTGTTGCTAGGAAGTACATCAAATTGTTTATAGGCTTTGCCGTACTTTAAATGGTTTTATTTTATCTAATTGTATTTATTATTATCATTATTGCTAATGTTGTAAACTTATGCAATTCAAATATTAAAGATTATAAGAAGTCTCATCGCATGTGGTCGATGTAGTCAAATGAATATTATTAGATTCACAATTTATTCATTTATATGAAGATTGAAGTATTTTGATCAGTTTATATTACATGATTATTTCTTAAGATTATATCGAGTCATTCAAACTTATAAGTCTAATTATTGTGAATCACTTCATTGTAAAGTTGAGAGTCAATCAAGATATATTTCAAAGTATATTGAATTTCTAATAAACTAAAGTCATTTTATATAAACGCTTATTACTCATTTAAGGGGAACCTCATCGATCTTTCCCTAATAATTTCATTATATTTCTACTCATGCAAATCATTTGATTCATTCGAAGTCATTAGAGTCTTTGAGTCATTTTATTATTAGTCTGATATTGCTCTCACAGATTGAATTATTTTCTATAAAAATCGTTAGGATAGTTGGTGATCTTTAGAGTCATCCATTCAACAAAGGGGAGTGAGATTGCCCTCAATAAAAATAAGCATCTCCCACTCCACCATATATCAATGGCGACTTTATCGTTCTTGTTTAGGAACTAATTTTGGAAATAATGTTAGTTCCCTTGGACGGTTCCGTGGTTTTAAATGATTTTTGTTTTGATAATCTTTTTCGTGCGGTTTAAGCTTGGCGTTATCAGGATTTGAGTAAAATTCGCGACTTACATCGATATTTGATGTATGCTGACTACTTTGCGAATAATCGCCTTCAGCAATTTGTAATGTGGAATAAGACGGCGGTGGCGCTAGAGTAAGTGCTCTAACGGGCACCCTTGGTATTCGCGGTACGGCCGTGTACGCAAAGGTGCTATTGGAGACTCAGCGTCGAATGCTGGTAGTCTCAAGCGTCTCGCAGAACGTCGGTCATCGCATCTGACTAAACAGATAGAAAGTTCTTTTAATTAGATGCGTCTTGATTTGCGAGCTGAGGTTATAGGATAATCTATAGCTAGTGGCGCTAAATCTTCTTCTTCTTCTGCATCTTGAGGCTCATTAAGTGCTCTGCGTTGTACTTTTAAATCATGCTGTTGTCGCAATTCTCGCAGCATGCGAGCTATCTCACCTTCTTGCCTAGACGTGGATGGATGTTCGGACCTGGAAAACAAGAAATAAACCCAGTCCAGTCACTTCGTACGATATTTGAGGGTATTGACATGATATAATCCCACCCTTTTTCCCTTAGCATCTTGAAGAAGTGCTAACTGTGGTCTAGGAAAAGATTTTATGTACGCAGGTCCTACATATTTCTTAGCTAACTTTACTGAGTAATGTTTTACAGCTTCGCTTAATCTTTTATTCGGATAATAGACTTTATCCCCAACTGATAGATTGCGCAAAAGAACTGGTTCGATGTATGGTTCGATTGTACATCTTTCGACTAATTGACGAAGTTCGTTGAAACGTTCATTTCGTTGGATTATAAGACTCGTGTTAGGAACAATGATTGTATTATCGACTTTAACTGACTCTAGGGGATTTTTAGGACTCCTTCCGAACATTAGGAAGTAAGGTGTAAACCCTGTTCAGAATGTATTGAGATGTTATATGCATACTCTAATTCTAAAAGATTTTCATCCCACTCTCTATGATCAAGATCTTCGAGGAATGAAATGATCATCGGTTTAATAGTTCTATTGACTCTTTCTACAGGATTAACTTGTGGCCACCCAAGAGGAGTATTACCTCTGGAAATATTTTTTTAAGCCTTAAACACGTCGTGAAGTGTACTTATTACCATTGTCGTTTCCTTGCTGCCCGTCAAAGTAAATCAGTATAAATACTGAACATTTTCGGATTATGTTCATTTATATTCAAGCGGTTTCGAAAGTCATCATCATAATGAAGTACAGTACTAGTGAATACGTCGATATGCATACAATGTATGTGTCGAATAATTTTAACGCGGAAGAAGCAGTACGAGTGTATGCTGAACATTACCCAAATCGCAATCATCCGTTGCCGAAGACTATTTTAAGAGCGTGGGATCCATTCCACACAAAAGGAAGTGTTGTCATGGATCGATCAGAAGTTGGTGGACCGAATTCTCGGCATCGTGATCGACATGAAGATGCTGTATTGGAACATTTTTTAGCTGATCCAGAATCAGGTATTCACAGAGCCGCAATAGAGTTGGATAAAAGTCGATCTAATATCCAACGAATTTTGAAAAGCATGAGAATGCAACCTTTTAAAAAAACCCGAGTACAAGAGCTGTTAGAAGGAGATTTTACACCACGAGTAGAGTTTCATCAATTAACGGTATATTTTCTTTCTGACAGATAGGACCATACAGATTCCAGAGTAATCTTACTGACTGGTGAATTATATAATGAATTCATAACAAACACATTACCAGGATTGTGCACCGCAGCAGGAATACCAAATCTACGACAGATTTGGTTCTAACAGGATAGAGCTCCAGCTCATACAAGTCGCATAGCAAGAGATAGCTTGAATAAGATATATGAAAGTAGATGGATTGGGAATTATGGACCAATCTTATGGCCTCCACGCTCCCCAGATCTTAATCCTTTGGACTATTTTGTATGGGACCATATGAAAAACATTTTTTACAAGACACCAGTGAGATCGGAACAGAAACTGCAAACCAGGATAGATGAAGCGATAAGATCAATAACTCCTGAAATGACTGAAGGAGCAGTAGAGGGACTAAAACATCGGGCAAGAACCTGCATCAGACAGGAAGGTCGACAATTTGAAAAATATTTTAAGGTAATGAAAAATACGATAAAAGAACACGCTGGTAGAAAAACATTATATATTAAAAGATAACAAAAATAAATAGATAAAAAAATTTTTCCAGATCGGACACCAGAGGAGGACCGAGGGGTAACGACGGTGGACAAGTCGCAGGATCATCGTCAGAAGAAAACAGCGACTCAGACTCCGAATAGGAATCCCAACAACAGAAGTGGAATAAAATAATTATATTTTCTTGATAACTGTAAAATGAATTGTAACACAATAAAAAAATTAAAAATTCGAACTTAAAAAATGGACTCATTGATAATTAAACGAGAGAGTAAGTTGAATTTGAAATAATAAGCTCAAATTACAATTTATGGAATCTTCGTCAACTTCTTATTATAAGGAGAAACACGATACCGACAATTTGAAAAAAATTGCGGACTATTTCTCAGGTGACATTGAATGTCATCAAGAGGTCCTGAATGGAAAAAAGTACACCTGACTACATATCTAAGACTCAAATAAATATTTCCAGAGATGGTTTTCTTATTTTGTTAGTTGCTAATGCACGATAAACGGCTAATAAACGAATATAATTAAGTCAAAGAATTCTAAAAAATGCGATTGATTTTTTTTGTGGCTTTAAATGTCATCGTAAGGGCTGAGATGGAAAGAAGAACACCTCACTCCGTGCTCGAGGCTCAAAAAAATATTGCGAGAGGTTGTTTTCTCATTTTTTCAGTTGCTAATACTTGAAAATCGCTAATTAACAAACATAATTAAGTCAAGAATTAAAGAAACAATACAAATTATTTTTTGGTAACTTGAATGTAATCGCGAAGGCTTAGATAGAGAAAAGAACACCTCACTCCATGTCTAAGGCAAAAAAAATTATTTCCAGAGGTTGTCTTCTTATTCTGTTAGTTGCTAATGCACGATAAACGGCTAATTAACAAATATAATTAAGTCAGGAATTAAAAAGAAAATGCGATCTACTTTTTCGGTAGCTTTAAATGTCATTGTGAGGGCTTAAGGGGAGAAAAGAACACCTCACTCCGTGTGTATGGCTCATAAAAATATATCCAGAGGTGACTTTCTTATTCTGTTAGTTGATGATGCTTTATTAACAGCTGATTAATGTTATAATTGGGTCGAGAATTCAAAAAAAAATGCGGACTATCTTTTTGCTGGCCTTAATTGTCTTACCGAGGTTCTTCATGGAGAAAAGAAAACGTCACTACGTGGCTAATGCATTACAAAATTTCTTTCGGCCGTCGTTTTCTTATCTTGTCAATTGTTCATGCATAAATAATAGCAAATTGACAAATAAAATAAAGTCAAAAATTTAAATACAAAAAAATAACGGTAAAGTAGTCTCGCTTCGGCTGTGTATTATCCTCTTGAAATCGCACATCTGGGAAGTGCGGGAACGTCTGCCGGCATCTATAAAAAAAGGTAAACCTAAGAGGTGCTACGTGCCCTGAAGGTCGAAGATAGCTTTACAAATGGACAAATGAGGAAAACTAAGATATTGAATTGTGACGTACAAGCTAATCTGTATGACTTAGAGGAAAGTAGTTTTCTTCGTGTATAGAAACGAGAATTTACATCGAAAGTTATGAAAAAAGGAGAAACTTTAAATAAGTTAAATGTCATTGTAAAGCTCTAGATGGAGAAATGAGTACCTCACTACGTCTCGAAGGCTTGACTAAAATATTTCAAGACGTTGTTTTTTGTATTCTGTTAGTTGCTCATACTTGAATAATAGCTAATTAACAATTATAATTAAGCTAAGAATTAAAAAAAAAAAATGCGAACTATTTTTTCGGTGGCTTTAAATATTATGGCGAAGGACTAGATGGAGAAAAGGACACCTCACTCCGTGTTAAAGTGTTGACTAAAATATTTCCGGACGTCGTTTTCTCATTCTTATCATTGTTAATGCTTAATTAACAGCTAATAAAAGATCAACAATTTTATGACAATGTCATAAACGCATCGTTTATGATATTAAAAAACATGGCCAACGAGAGTAGGTTCCGTGTCATCTGCATGGAGGTGTTCTTCGCCACGACAATAATTGAAAATGGGATCCTTGCTGAGGGATACAGGAAATGGACAGAAGCAGCTGAACTCGGAAGTTATAACCTCTGGATGATTCCAATCAATTACCGGAAGCATTGGACACTGCTCACTGTAATACTTAAACATAAAATTTTCCTGTACATTGATTCATGTATTTTCAAGATACCTCCAGAATCATCGAATGATGTCAAGCTATTGTTGAAATTTACTGCAAAAATCGATTGGGGACAGGGTGGACATTGTTGAGACCACGAGATATACTTCGTAACATAACATCATGGGCACACTCGATTGTAACTCAGTGCTGCATCTCATTCGCGGAAGAGGACATGAACAATGTTCGAAGAGGAATAGCGAACATGATAATAGAACACCAGCCAACAGACGACAGATAAATATCAAAAAAACATTTAAATTTAGAAGACATTGAAGCAAAGGAAACACCTGAAAGATTAAAACTTCAGGTATCAAACAGTAGACCGTTAAACTACAATTCAACTTTTGATCACGCAGCTCTCTTAAAGCTACTCATAACCGAATAATTATAAGGAGTAATAAATAAAACAAAATTTTCACATTATGTATTAAGATTTCATGTAATACAATTTGAATAAGAAGTGTCTTATGCTAAGTGTATTCTACTAGCACCACCAGCTAGCGCACGTTTTTTCGACATAACTTTTATCTTGTAAAGGGACATGTACACTTAGAAGAAACCTTGTATACGTTTTCTTGTATTTTTTGTAATCTGTTCTAGGAGAAAATAATAAATTTATTGATTGTAATACAGACATGTTTAGGACTTAGGTGATTAACTTTACAGGCAGCATATTTATCGGCATATACACAGATACTCTGATAGTCAAGTGCAGCGCTTACAGACAGACCTTTTACACGTGTTAGTCGAACTTTTGTATGGGCAATTGTATACCTGTTAGCCGAAACTTCGTTCGAATTTTTAACCCAGGATTGGACTTCAATACTAGTCCCTCTTCGCTGGTGGCGGTAGACATTCTAAGAGTGGTCTCAAGACGATTCTCTCGTCAGTTCGACTATACCTGAGACAGCCGCATCACGGTAGAGCATCCTCTCATTTCACCTTTCTCTCACAGCAAAGCCTCTATTTCCTCCCCCTCATGGCGCTAATTAACAGAACTTCACCAACAGTGAGGATGAATTTCCCCGGATTGTTTAAACAGGAAAGGGTCATTGCTTCGAATTTTAATGATTATCTGGATTTAACGGGTAATAGTAATTTTCATGCATTTATTGGATGTTGTTTCAAAAATCATAATTTGTTCAGATCCATTTTTCCAATAATACTAGGGACGGATTCATCGATAGCGTGTGTTTTTGGACGGACACTCTTGATTCGCCACCTGCTGGGGAATGGTCACAACCCGAACCAGACGGATATGTACGACTGAACACCACTTCACTTAGTATCTATGCTCCAGCCAGAAAATTTTTGATCAGCGATTGCCGCATTGATACAGTGGGAAGGCAGACACCACAATAATAGATGTTCTCGGATGGACTGCAAACGATTACGCGTAAGAAATACACAACAAATTGGCATGTAAACAGATAAATATATATATATACTCTCTTAAACTAAATCAGTGAAAACTACTGCGAATCAATTAATATTCACTGATATCCAGTGCTAATTTAATGACTGATTCTTTTAGTGATAGGATTGGCACTGGCAATCAGTGAATATTCCCTTATTCGCAGTAGTTTTCACTGATTCAGTTTAAGAGAGTATAGATTTATAAATATATAGAAACATCAATATTACATAAAAAGAAAAGAAACATAAACAGAAATAATTAAGTAATTGTGTTTTTGCCTACCTACCAAATCACTTTACCTACTTACCTGCCTATCTATCTACTCATCTACCCACCCATAGGGTAGGATGTAAGATTTCTTACAGGTGGCAATAACAGATTTCTCTCAGCATTGTTCACAAGTTCGTTTTCCATGTGAGTCCCCACAAAGTAACTTCAATATTTTTTACGAGTTATTGATACTTAACACTTGATCGAGTGGACTATTCAAAGGAAAATAAAACATTTTAATGTCTTTATCTCTCTTACATCATCGCTAGTAGGAGACTGATTTAATCGTCAGTACTTGATTGTTTGAACAATTATTTCAACAACATTTATAAAAAGGTGCATGTATTGTGAACTACAAAATATTAATTATCACTATGCTTATTGCTACATATGATATAAATGATAAGGATGATATACGGCCACTTCTGAATTTTATATACATAAGATGATAAGTCAGAAACATCAGTGGTTAAGTTTCTGATAAAGTCAAGGTCCGTTAGTTACATTGAGTAGTGGCAAGAGTATAAACAATAATTTCTCAGTATCTCGGCAGTCGTCCAGCATGTCGTAGTTAAGATATGTTGATTTATTAATCAATTAAGAGTATAATTGATTTAACCAGGTGTCACATTTTTCAATGGATACAATGGAAGTTACTGAATCTACTCCTGTTGAACCGGGAAAATGGCGGCAAATTTTGGCTGCAATCATAAGTAAGTTATGAATGGAAATTTCGAAAAAGGTTATTTCACGTTAATAGTATTTTAAAAGGATGGTAAAAAGAACATTTTTGTTTAATTTCCTCAGTAAATATTGCGAACTTATCATATGGAGTAACCATGGGATGGGCATCACCCGTGATACCATTATTCCTTAATCCAAATAATCCAGTCAGTGAAGAGCCACTAACTTCTGAAGATATATCATGGTTGCAAAGTGTTATGTGTATCGCAGGAATACCAGTACTTCCATTGTGCTCATTAATTGCTGAAAGATTTGGTCGGAAGATTATTGGATATCTTATAGGAATTTCATTTGCCACATCTTGGTTTTTAACGATATTTGCTATTAATTTCCAATATCTTATAATCGCCCGGATTTTCGCCGGTGTTGGAGGAGGGTTTTTATATTTTCTGGCTCCTTTATACGTTACGGAAATATCTGGAGATAGTATCAGAGGACTACTTGGAACGTTTATGCTTTTTGCACTTAACATTGGAATATTTTTAGCCTATATATTAGGAGCTCTTTTATCTTATAAATTATTTGCAATTTGTTCTCTCTCATTTTCCGTTATTTTCTTCGTATGTTTTCTATTTATGCCTGAAACTCCGACATTTCTAGTCAGGAAAGATAGGATTACTGATGCCACTAAGTAAGTTGAGTTAATGATCCATGAAATTTTTATTAGCTGTTATTGATAAATAGCTTCAGCAAAAAAAACAGTTTGAGTTGGAATAAGATTAAATAGTTTTTTTGAAAGTCTGATAATTTTATTAGCAGTGGTACATAGTCCTAAATAACTATGAACTATGTTCAGAGGAAAAATGTTCTAAAAAAAACTAAAATAGATTTTTTGGCCAGAAACCGGGTGATTGTGAAAATATACTATTACCGTCTATTTATACAGTTGCACAGATTTTTTTTATTAATATAGTTTTTTAGAATACATCTATTTAATTAATTATTTCTGAATTTATGTGTAGTAATGCAAATATAGATAAAAAAAATCTTAACAAAACATGAATACTACACCGTAAATAAAAATGGGTGCTTTCCATCTAGGAACACAATTCGATACTGTGTCGAGTTGTGTTACACATTGTGTTGCTTTGTGTCTAGTTTGCTTGTATCCGGTTGTATGTAATTGTGTGTCTGAGTGGAACGGTCGAGTAGAACACAAAGCTACACAACTCGACGTAGTGTATTCCTAAATGGAAAGCACCCAATATTAACTCCGTCGCAGCAGCTAAAAGCGCGCTTAGACGTGTTTTGGTTATTGTTCCATTACTCTACTGTTATTGAGCATACTAATTTGTCTTATATTCTATGTTTTTTCTTAGTATTGAAAAAAAACCCCTCTAGATTACTTAATACGGAATAAATACTGAAAATCTTATTATTATTTAGGTCCTTAATGTGGCTAAAAAATAGAGACAAAGCAGCAGTAGATCAAGAATTATTGAGACTTCGAACGCTTGTTAAGGAGTATACCAATGTAAACAAACCTGTCGGTTTGTATGATTTATTTAGAGATCGAGCTACAATAAAAGGATTTATCATTGCGAATGGACTCTTAAGCGGCCAACAGACTTGTGGTATCACAGCTATGGTGAGTAATGATAATTCATTATCTCAAGTAATTCTTGATATACTTATTCACTATATCCTAATATTATATCAACACTTAAGTAGAATTCCTTGAAAATAGTATATAAAATGAAATAATATTTTTAAAGTACTACATTTGTTATTCGAAACTGATAACTTCTAAATGATGTGAGTTCGAAAAGACATGAAGGTTGAGTAGTGTGATGGGGAGAATAAGATATAATAATTACTTTGATTTCTTTATTTCATTTTTGTCAGCGTTTATTTGCAAAAAAAGTAAATCAAAATTTAGTAATTTTATTTGTGATTCTGTGTGTTTGGATTAAACCTAATTTTTGAACAGTAGTCGTTTAAATAAACGAAAAAAAACAATAAATATCATCGAATAATAAAGATAGAAGAATATTGGAACTTACATAAAATTTATTTATTTACTCACTGCAAATCCAAAAAAATTCAATTGAGTACTTAAGTGTTTAGTGATGAATCACTTAAAGTGTAACATAGTCAAACATTGCAAACACTTTAAGTGTTTAGTTTCTAAACACTTGGATTTGCAGTATATTAATTAACTAATGACCTTCTTGAGCTTTTTTTTATTTCCAGTGATAATAATTTTTTTTCCAGTTGACTTATGCATCAATGATTTTCCAACTGTCTGGATCATCTCTATCACCAAATGCGGCCACAGTTATTGTGGGCGGAATTCAAATAATCGGATCCGGACTATCAACACTATTTATAGAAAAAGCTGGTAGAAGACCGCTTATATTGATATCCTGTCTTGGAATGCTGCTCTGTCACTGTGCAGTAGCTACTTTTCTCTTTCTTCAATCGTTGTCTATTGATGTATCTTCATTGCGATGGATTCCACTAGTAGCTCTATCCGTTTACGTCATTACTTACAGTTTAGGCATGGGTCCTGCCCCTTTTATCGTTGCAACAGAAGTTTTTAGTTCTGAAATTGCAGCTTTAGGATGTTCTATCTCTATGACTGTGATGATCGTTGTAGCATTTGCAATGCTCAAATTTTTTCCTCTGGCTATTGAATTATTGAATCTGTATGGTTGTTTTTATCTTCTTGCTGCATTTTGTGGATGTACCTTAACATTCACTTATTTCATTGTTCCTGAAACTAAAGGGAGAAGCATTGAGTTTATAATTAATAAATTAAATGGGCGTTCTGAGCGATTTAAGGATAGTGCTTCCATAAAAGCTTCCATTGAGATGAATCTGTAAAATGCCTATTAGTCTATTAACTGCGTGATTTTATTGCGCATTACTTATAGAATGAAAAAAGAATTTTTTTGATCGCAGATTCTTATAGAGGGTGATTGGGAGAGCATTAGTGCAAATTTTTATTACTCGGAAACAATAATTATTTGGTTTATCGGGTGTCAAAGCTTGGCAAATTACGTTTTTTCACCTACCATCGCTTACGTAGCGCAAACGGTGACAGATATACTTAAGGAAGTATATTTTTGGAATAAGAACGATGTTCGATTTTTTCAATATATTTGTAGATTTTGTAGACTATTTGGCAATTTTTAGTTTTCGAAAAATGAATAAATGTTTAAAAATATAAAAAATATCAATGCCAAACTCTGTTTAAAAGAAGTGTCTTATGCTAAGTGTATTTTCCTAGCGACACCAGCTAGCGCACGTTTTTTCGAGATAATTTTTATCTTGTAAAGGGACATGTACACGTAGAAGAAACCTTGTGTACGTTTTCTTGTATTTTTTGTAATCTGTAATAATCAGATTAATTGGGGAATGCATGAACAATTAAAATCCATCTATATAATTAATAACCAGTGCCTTTTATTTTTTTATTTTATTCCTTTTTATCACCAGTATTTTCACTCCTTTTTCATCTTTTGTTTCTCTACGACTTTACACTACATTGTATAGTTGGAACCGGATGGTAAATAAGATTCAAAGACGAATCAGTGATTAAAATTCGTGTAAGTTGTGTAAGCATTTTCTTGTGGTTAGAGTTCCGTACTGGGGACACCTTCAAAAATAAATTCTTTGTCCGGGGATACACTAAAATAGTGAATAAATTCATTTAGGCCGTGTGAGAGACGGTGCAGATTAAGGGGGGGGGTCACATATGACGAATACAGGCACGATTTAAGACGAATTATATTGACTGGCAGGATAGCTTAACTGGTAGAGCAGCCAGCATGTAACTGGAAGGTCCAGGTTCGCTGAAAAGAATATATTATATATTATATCGTCCAGAATACATTTTTCTCCGAAAATCGTCCTGAGCTAGTCGTGGAGTAGTTCGTATGTGTTTAATTGGCTAAAGTGAAGGTGTCCCCAAAAAGAAACTTCTTCCATTTTTCCTGTAGTGAAAGTTATGTCAATGACCTCTTGTTTGTTGTACCTGGCGAAAGTAAGGTACTCCAATAACTTAAATAAACTCGAAGGAGAAAATAATAAATTTATTGTTTGTAATACAGACATGTTTAGGACTTATGTTGTTAATTTTACAAGCAGCATATTTATCGGCATATACAAAGATACTCCGATAGTCGAGTGGTCCATGCGGCGGAATTATTTATTAGTCCAGTCGATATGATGATTGTTTTTTTTTCATCTGGTTGTTTTCAGTGGCAGCAAAGAGGATAGACGAATATAGAATATAATTTGTACAGGTCCATTTTTCAATAATCCTAGGGACGGACTTATCGATAGCATGTGTTCTTGGATGGACACTCTTGATTCGCAACCTGCTGGGAAATGGTCACAACCCAAACCCTAACACCACTTCACATAGTATCTATACTCCAGCCAGACAACTTTGGATCCGCGATTGCCGCGTTGATACAGTGGGGAGGCAGACACCACAATAATAGATGTTCTCGGATGGCATGTGAATAAACAATGTTTTTTTAAAAATCATAATTTGTTTAGATCCATTTTCTAATAATCCTACACGGAGAGAAAGTTAAAGTAAATTTTATTACGGAATTGAAATAATTTTTACTATGTTCTGTAGTAATTCTGGAACAGACGAAAACTCAAGTAAAATTTACTATGCACCATAGTAAATTTTACCACGGCTGGTAAAGTAAAAATCATATATTCAGAATTTAAAATTTCAATATCCCGACGTAAAAATTACAATGTTACATTATTTAATTTTAATATAATACCGCAAAAATTAAATTTCTATATATGTATGTTTATCAGTTTCATGTATGGATATATATCTGTATTCATGGGTGATTTAAATCAAAACCTAATTAGTTAAAAAAATAAAAACAATAAAAAATTATTTAAATCCAAAACTTTGGAATATATTCATTTTTAGCAACAATTATTTTCCATGATAGGAATGAATTAAAAAGAATAATTATTTAATTATTTCTTTATTAATTAAATAATCAATCGTTGTTACTAACTTAACGTGAACAAATAATCTTCACAAATGAAATAAAATTGACACATCGAATGAAATGAATAGCTCATCTATCCTCACTCCTTTGTAAACAAGTGAAAAGTAGGGATGACGGTTGGAATGTGAAGTACTTTTTAGTATGCATAATATAAAAATTACTATAGTTACAGTAAAAATTACAAGGTACCATGATAAAATTTATTTGATTTGAATGTATTATTCATTTGTATTCATTTTTACCATGTTACATAGTAATTTTAGACAAAAAGTAAAATAAAAAATATAAGATGCTTTGTAAATATTTTAATTTATAAAGTACAATTATTCTTAAAATATGATAAAGTTTATTTTAATACTTTTTAATATACATTCGATCAAAAATTACTATGGGTTATGGTAAAAATTAGTACACATAATGTATAAATTAATACATCCTATGAGAATTTCTGAAGAAAATTCAGCCTGTTCCTTGTTTACTATGCACCCATGGTAATTTTTAATTTAACTCTCTCTCCGTGTAGGAACGGATTTATCGATAGCGTGTGTTCTTGGACAGTCAAATATATATATACTCTCTCAAACTAAATCAGTGAAAACTACTGCGAATCAGTGAATATTCACTTATTCGCAGTAGTTTTCACTAATTCAGTTTAAGAAAGTATAGATTTATAAATATATAGAAACATCAATATTACATAAACAGAAAAGAAACATAAACAGAAATAATTAAGTAATTGTGTTTTCGCCTATCTACCAAATCACTTCACCTACTTACCTGCCTATCTATCTACTCATCTACCCACCCATAGGGTAGGATGTAAGATTTCTTACAGGTGGCAATAACAGATTTCTTTATACTCCACTATCTCTTTTGGAAGTCATTCGATCGATATATTCCACAAAATTTGGTAGTAAAATTTCATCGAGGATACAAAAACTGTGTAAATGTATTATTTAAATAAAACACAATTTCACCGTTCATCCTAACAGCGATCAGGATCAAAATTTTATTTTCAGAGCTGTAGAACATGATCACGTTCCAATTGTTACATAATTGATGGAATGGAAATTGATGTTAACATGACACATTCAGTAACAGGAACAAATCTTTTGCAAATTGTATACCTGTATTGCTGCACACGCCAATTACAAAGAAAGTATTATAATTCTACTGATTCGGGAGATGAAGGAATACCAGCTGAGATAATGGATCAAACAGAAGGAGTAAGAAATAAGCTTTTACTCACGATATTGTTACTAAAAGATCAACAAACCAGCGAAAAGTCAATGAAATGGAAATTCGAAAAAAATATATCAATTTACAGAGCCAATATATTGGGCATACTTTAGTAAACTTTCAACGTCTAAAAAATCGATAATTTCACCGACTAATGCTTTCTGCAGCTCATGGGAGGCGCATGTATCAATTAAGTCATCGGGATAAATACGCTTGGTAACATCCCAAAAATTATCGCTAACGATTTAAAATTGCCTGATGTCAATCTATATACCAGGCATTCTTCTCGAAGGACTGCGGCAACGATTTTGCCGACTCTGAAGCAGACATGCTTCAATTAAAAAGATTTGGACGCTAGACCTCGAATTCCGTGGTCGAAGCATACATTGAAGAATCCGTCAAGAATGAAGACAAAACCGTAAGAGAAATAATGGACATGATACGAAATGAACCAAGTACAGTGAAAGACTTCAAACAGAAATCAACCGGAACATTATTGAAAAAACGCTAAACAAAGAATCGGAAATAGATTTCGAAGAGCCTGAAGGAATCAATAATAAACTGATTCGTAGACTGATCAAAATGTTTAATACTTACATTCGAAATTTTTATGTGTTTTGTTTTCACCGAAAAATAAGAGACTTTTCTTTATAAAAGCGGGAGATATTTTAGTTTACCCAATAATTCTATAAATAATTATGATTATAGTTAGTTTTATTCCGTTATACGATTTTGAACAAATCAAACAATTATCAATTTATTAGTTAATTCAATGGTATTTCACTTGAAGCATATATATCTCATTGCATACTACAGTAAAACCTCTCTATAGAAAATCTTGTTGGGCAAGAGAACCTCATGAATTGAGCGAAGGTGGCCCGTAATAATCTGTTGTGTGATCGGCTTATAGTACATTTCAGTAGGAGCCAGAAACCTTCCTAGAGCAAGGTTGATTTTCTTGCTGTAGGCAGGTTTTTGCCTATGAGGAGCTACGCAATAAAAAGGGTTATACTGTATTTAATTTTCGTCATTACAGAGGATGAAACTAAAATAAATCAGAAGATGTTAATCATTGGCAACAAAACGTAACGAAATTTTCGCACTTTAACTAAATTTATATTACACTTTCGTTGAAACTGGAAATCTAGAATTTTTAGACCCCACGGCCTAGAACAGAGTTTAAGGCTCTCAATATTGGATATTTTTTACCACAAATTCCTTTGAAATCATCGGTTTCTATACTCCAGATCATAGCACCACCTAAACCTTCTTGTTTAACAAATTCAGCTTTGGCAATAACAGCACTATAAATAAATATATATTTTTGAAATGTACAAAAAAATTAAGAAAAAAAAAACAACATTACAAATTACTTACGGAATATTATCAAATGAGACCCATTGATTTCCTTTTACAGCATAAGGAACACCTCTCTCATTGTCCTGATGAATTTCCCAATCGTTTGCTTTATGCATTTCACAGATTTCATTGTATCCGAGCATCCCAGCTTCTCGGGTATAAGGACCAGCTGTTCCTGGTGATGAAACTGGAGCCCCAATACCTTTATTACTAGGATTTGAAAGTGTGAAACTTTTTCCGTATGCTGGAATTCCTAAAATAAGCTTCTCTTTTGGAGCTCCATTCTTCACCCAATAATCTATTGAAGCTTTCTAAATTTTTGAAATTTTTTACAATAAATGGAATCATAAAAATATTTATTTCTCTGATTTGTTGTTTTCTTTACTTACAATATTCAATTTTAATTCATTCCCGGAGTCACTCGATGAAGCAGAAAGAGGTGCATTCATTCCTGTATGACCGTCCCAGGGGCCATGAAAATCATACTCCATAAGATTAATGAAATCTAAATATTTACTCATTTCAGCTATGTTGTAAGATTGTGATGCTGAAGACTCTGGTGCTGCTACTGCAGCACTCAAAAGATAGCCATGCTGAGAAAATTCTTTTTTCAATACTCTAGCAAGTTTGACATAATTTTTTATATCTTCTTTAGATCCACCTCGTTGAGCAGGATATTCCCAATCAATATCTAACCCATCAAACTGGTAATGTTCGAGGAACTTAACTACGTTCTGGGCAAAAGTTTGTCTTTGGGCTCGATTACCTGCCATTTGTGAGAATGGAACCGAACCAGCATTCCATCCACCCACAGCAACCATGACTTTAAGGGATGGATTTTGCTGTCGAAGGCGGACAAATTTTCCAAAACCATCTAAGTTCCCTGGGAGATCGCTCCAGGGGTCTAGAACTTTGACTTCCTTTCCATCAACGCCAACGAATGCATAAATTAAATGAGTACAAAGTGTTGGATCGATTTCATTGATGTCGAATTTTCCATTCCCTGGACGATACACAGACCAAGCACCGAAATAACAAACAATTTTTTCTGGAAAATATGAGTAATTTATTATAATGCGAACTCAGAATAAGCTAAATAATTTCTCTTACTTGAAGAAGCAGCAGTAATAGTTAAAACCAAGCTGATTGCAGCACAAAAAATTATGAACCGCATTTTATATGTAGTTTGATAATTTTTTCGAATCTTCTACGATGGTTACGAATGTTCATCAGTTATTTTATAGTGATACTTATCGATAAAGTAATTCTAATAGAAAAATTTTCATGACACGAACCAATGCAAAATATGGTATTTTTATGACCATCAAGGAGATAATTCTGATTATTATGAAATAAAACATCACTTTTAATTCTCTGTCGTTTTGATCGTTAAAACTTTTTAATTTTTAAAATTCTGATTTTTTTCAATTTCAGAAATATGTATATATATATATATATATATATATATGTATATATATACATAATTTATTGATATTTTTATTATTGTATCAATTCTAAATCAATGTCGAATTGAGTCATAAAGGAGTTACAAGTAATAAAACATTTCTAGCTCACGAATCAATAAAATACTATCGAAACAACTACACAATGTCACGAACGAAAAATCTTCGATTGATTTGATAGGTTTTTCATAATTCGTGAGTTAGACATTCTAAAATTCTTCGTTGTCATGTAATTCAGGTTTTTTATTGAAATAATATATCAGTAGATATTCATGGAAATCCAGACGATAAAAAATAAATTGCTTAGGAGATTTATACTTGCCTTTGTATGAAAGACATTTCTTTGGATTTAAAATTCAAATAAATTACGATTTGCGGAGTTAACATCAAATTCAGTTTCGAATGAAATAATTTACAATTGTTGTAGAATGTTATGCCCAAATGTTGGGAGGAAATAATAAAATTCGGTTAAGTATAATTTTCTAGAACAAAACTACGGAAATCTGCGACTTTCTTATTATCTAGGAGTATATTTATGATATTATTAATGGAACAGTTACTGACATCCTAAGCCGGTAAAAAAAAACGTGCCCGAAAAATTTTTTAATAAAATTTAACGAATCATATTTCGTCGGTACTCAGCAGCTAACCCGCAGTCTTGAATTTTTCGCTCTCAGCTTTGGCCTAGATGCAACCGGTACCCAATGATTTTCGAAAAAGGAAAAACTCATCTGAAAGATGAATGAATAGATTTTTCGAAGTCTACGAGGATCACAGATGAGATGAAAGACAAATTCAAAGAACCAATGCATTCAAGAACAATTTAAAAAACTCGTTCATACGTTGAGCTGGATTTGTTGGGCAGGAGAAAAAAGCCAAAGGCACAAAAATATTATTACATAGAGCGTAAATGATAGAAATTCGTTCAAAAGTTTTAGGGCAAGTGTGAAAAGTTCCATCGATGAATATTTGATTCATTTTTGACAGTACTGATAAATCGATCGATGTAGTCAATATTGTAATATAAGCCGTCCGGTCAACTCGATGAAAAATTGTTAATAATATCTCATATAAGTATCAGTTATACCCATTTTAAATGTATCTCTAAATTAAACAATGCTTTGAAATTATTTTGTCAGGAAACAAATTGTCGCTCTATTGAGAACATATTTACCGACAGTAAGTTATGAAATGTACTATCGGTATAGTAGATATTGATTATAGCGATATATTTAAAAATTTTAGAGTCTCTAGAGAGTTAAAAATAGTGTCATTGAAAATCCACTTTTTAATCGTACAGTACCGGACATAAATGCTGTTTGATTTTCTATAAGACAGTATAGGGAAATTGCATGTATAACCTTCAAAAAATTGAACAGCATTTATGTCCGGTACTGTAGAAAGTAGGAAATTAGTATCCCAGCTGCAGTTTTACTGTCTTATTGAAAATGTCAAGTAATTTTATTCTCATAATCTCTACTTTAATTATAAATCTTTCTTAATCTAATTATATTACCTTTTCTTTTAAGTATTATATTTTTTAATTCATGTAGAGAATAAAGTGGTTGGAATTGAAGAATGAATCCACTTCTTCCTTAGATTATTACAATTACTTGATTCACGACGACTTATCTTTACTTATAAAATAGATTCCATCTTGTATATGGATATATCATTTGTAAATAATAATAACTAATACTAACCTAATTACAAAATACAAAAATTTGCAAGTAGGAAAAATCATCAAGTTCTATTCTAAAACATTCCAAATAATTTTATTTTTATAATTTTGACGTTGATTATAAAACTTCCTTAATCTAATTATATTATTCTTTTTCTTAAATTTCTGAGTTTTTGTACTTCTAAATGTATTTAGGAATTTAAGTATGCGAAAAATAAAATGTCTACGAAAAAAATAGAAAACCAAACAATATAAAACTTAACTTGCCCTTTCTACTCTCAATGTCTGTGTCCGTCAAATCGGGAAATTTAGAGGCAATCCTCGTAAAAGTGCATTATTCACCCGACGTGGTTGTTCGAGATTTGTGTCAAACCTTATTTTCCGTTGAAGAACTTCTGAGAAGTACAGTATGTGGCAGACCTTCAAATAATAACAAAAAAAAAAATTAGAAAATGTTAATGTGCGAGTCCAAGAACTCTCAGGCACAAGAATTAACGCAATAAAGAGAAAGTTATGATTCTTGAAAAACCAAAGTGGAAAAAATTGGTGATCATGAAGGTCCCAAGTTCCCCAGTTCATCAGCGGACCATATGAAAAGATAGCCGGTTACGAAACAGAATCAGATATCGAAGAGGCTAATCATGAAACGGAGTTAGATCTCGAAAAATCCAATTACGAAACAAGTCCACAACCTGAAAAGTCCCATTACATCAAGACTTTTCGATTAATGAAGAATAATATCGAGGCCGATATCAAACCAGGATGGCCAAGTGTAGGATTTTTATATGCGTGAGAAAGATGTGTGAATGAGTCGAGAGTCTGCGTAGATGGAAAAGGGGGAAAGTAAGGAGATGCGAGTAGGAGAACGTGAGAGAGGCAGTTGTTATGTGAATGTCGTCTAGGTCGGATCAATTTTACGAAAAATACCTTTATTTCATTGTAATCAATCATTTCTTATCATTTTCAAAATAAAAAAAAAGAACACCGAATTATTTTCTTTTTTAATGAAAATTAATTCATCTCCAAAAATCAATCCTACAGTACATTGCTAGTTATTTAAGGGTATCGCTTTACTGTCTGAGGCATTGATAGTTGGCTGATTGGCTTGAGACAGCACTATTTCTTCAGTGGGAAAATCGGCTTTCATTGCTGAAGAGCACGTAAAAACGTCACTAGAAGTAAATTTTATTTGTAAAATTTAATAAGAAGATTGCACTGGCATTGGGGCTTCGCCCCTGGGGGATGAAAATTGCAGAAATTGCCCTCGACCACCGATCTGATGTTAAGGAATCTGAATTTGAACTAGTTTTTAGAACAGAAGCCTAGGCACAGGTACCCATCACATGATAAGGTAGGTATTGACACGATAGTCATGGAAAGAAATGATAAGGAATCTCCATAAGGTCAAGCCGAAGGCACAGACCGAAAATATCCGTTTTCTTGCCCTTCGTAGTGGAAATGATTTCATTATCACATAAACGAAATTTCGAATAATAAGAGCTAAGGCTAGGCTTTACTTCAAATTTTTGCCCTATTAGCTGTATCAGAGAGCACCTGAAAAATGATATAACGAAATCCATCTAGAGTAGCGGTAGATACTCGGCGCCAAGTGCACATTCACCTTTTCCCTCTCTCTCTCTTTCTCACTAGCGCGCTCTTTCCCCCATGAGCGCCGAGGCTACCGACTACTCTATACACGAAAAATTTTGTGTGACGTCATCAACGCATCTTTATATGCAAATATCTTTATAATTGCTACATATTATGATTTCATATTTAATAGGTAGTTATCTTATATCATGAGCTTTCAATTAAACGTTAAACGAGAATTTTTTATTAATTATTAACGGAGTTATAAATAAGCCACGCCCCTAACAGCGATATTTCTGCTATTCAAGATTTTTTCGCTCGCTGTTTCACTCTACTTAATCGAGCGCTCTATCATGTATTCTCTCTTACTGAATGGGTCTTTTGTCACTTTCTTTCACATTGGGCTCCCTACAGTGCCCTCTTTCTTGCGTTACGTATTGTTATCACTCTCTTTCACGTTAACTTCGTAATATTTCCTTCTCTCTTGCCTAACCAAAAGACATCTATGTTCTGAATAATGAAAAATGTTTCCCGCGTGTTGTATATCGATTTAAATAAACTTTCTTAGGAATTATTGGTAAAGAAAAGTTTTAAATGATCAATGAAAAATAAGTGTTTGTCGAATAATAACAACAAAAGAATATGATTAAAAAAAGTAAAAAGTGTTTCCCGCGTGTTGCATATCGATTTTAATAGATTTCATTTGGAATCATGAATAAAATGATGTTCTAGATGATTGAAAGAAAAAACAATTATAATAAACATCCAAAATTGTTATAAATTTTGTGGTTGGCTTTAAATAATGTCTTATTGAAATATCATATTTTTCACTATTTTCATAAGACATTATTTTATTGAACTTTTTTCTATTTCAGAAAAATAAAAAACTGGCTTGGCAGAGTAATAAAAGAGCAGAACATACACCTATGTAGCATAGGAACTACCTAAAATTGTTATAAATTTTTAAATTTTCGAAATAAATAAAAATAAAAATTAAATAATTTTTAACGTTGTCGTCTTGAGACAGCGCGCTTGGAGAGCGCGCGTTGTTTCTAGTAACCTTATTGAAAAAAAAAATTAATTTGGAAGAAGAAAATTTTTTTGGAAGTTTGGTGACTGTCTTCAAAATTCCAATTCGTCACCAAACTTCCATTTTGATCGTACGAAATGTTACCGAACTTCCACTTGCACGTATATATACTACTATATAAATTTCTGGTGTCTATCTGTCTGTTCGGGGTAATCTCCAAAACGGTTAATTCGATTGCGACCAAATTTAACAGATATGTAAAGGGAGTTGTTCGGAAAGTTATATGCTACTTTTTGTTAATGTGAATTGTTTATAACAATTAAATTTGTTATAAACAATTGAAAACAGGATTTATTCAATTTGAGATCTTTCAACGGGAAATTTTTTCTTTTACTGAAACAATGTTATCCACTGTGTAAAATGAATATAAACATACTTCTTTTGTTCGTAACATACCATTTGTT